TAGTCACAGAATTCTGTTAAGTGTTTCCAGGATATCCATTTGCTGGGATGAAGAAAATCTGTTGTGTTTCCAGGAATTCATCAACTTTGAGAATTTTATGAAGCACCCAATGTCGTACTTCTTATTGTTCAGGCATTGACAGTTTACCAGGTAGTCTGTCAATCAAGAGACATATGTGAAATAGTGCTTCTGATTTTTCAAGGAACACAACTGTATGGTCATCAAATGTTTGGCATCCGTCAGAGGAAGTATGGTTTGAGAACTGCATGGCACTTTAGGGTTTACAGTGTGTGTGTTGGTAGTTCCAGCAGTTGGTTGTCATCATGACACAGACCATCACCTACACCAAGCCTTGGCGCCTCCCGATCTTCCACAGACTCTACTCCATACAGGAAGTCAGTCACAGTGGGGAGTACGATGATGGTAATATGATGTTTATACACAGGATGTAGCAATTCATACATTGTTGTAAGAGGCGACTTATGGGTTCGGATGGTCGGGCTTGCTGACTTGGTTGATGCATGTCATAGTATCCCAATTTTGTAAACCAATGCTCATGATGTCAATCACTGGATTGTCTGATCCAGACTCGATTATTTATAGACTACCACCATATAACTGGAATATTGCTGAGTTTGGGGTTAAACAACAAACCAACAAACATTGTGGTCAATAAGTGTGTTAGTTTTAACTGTATTTCAGTGATATGATGTAGTGTGAGCTTGATGTGGGAGGAAAGCCTGAGGTGATGCAGATCCTAGATGTCTACCACTCTGGTGACACTCAGGAGCATTATTAACATGAAAACCATGATCAGGGCGACTGGGTATACTTTTAGTCCACACCTTAATCACATTAAGTTTAATATTGGGTCTTCTTTTCGTTGCACTGCAGTCAATCCATGTGTAAATATTAGAGTAAACCAAGGTAGACAACTCTGACTGCCCTGGCTCACTTCCTTGTCAACACATGTTTGACAGTACTCTCCTAACCATTTGTTTGTTTGTTGTTTAACACTGCACTCAGCAATATGACAGCTGTCTGACGGCGGTCTGTAAATATTCAAGTCGGGACCAGACAATCTAGTGATTGACATCATCGATCAATGCAATTGGGATACAATGACATGCATCAATCAAGTCAGCAAGCCTGACCACCCAATCCTGTTAGTCGCCTCTTAAAACAAGCATGGTCACCTCTTTTGGCAAGCAGGGGTTGCTGAAGACGTATTCTCTACCTGAATGTTCATGGGTTGCTCTGCTTACCATACTGTCTTGTATATGGATATGCTCCGTATGATATTGGTTGATGTATAAATATAAATTTCACATCTGTAACTGCTGGTGTAGTGAACATCCACATGTTGCACAAAAAGCATAGAAGCACTTTTTGATAGATATACAGTAAACTACGGTTAAAACGAACTCAAAGGGACCACTAATTTAAGTTCGTAATAACCGTAGTTTGTTATAGGCATATAAACAGCATATATACATCAAATGGCCGGGACTAAAAAATAAGTTTGTTAAATCCGTCAGTTCGTTATAAGCGTGTTCGTTATAAACGTAGTTTACTGTATATCTATCTGCTAAAATATATGTTGTTGCCAGTTCTTGGCAAGAGATGATCAGCTATGTGTAAACTGATTTTCAGACATTATTGCATAACAGAGAATTTGTTAAATTTTAACTTATATCATTGGATAAGAAACTTTGTTTTCCATATCCTTTGATAATGTATGCTAGAACAGAAAAATGGCTTTACATCTTCTTGAATATACTTATGTAATTGTTTAAGAATCCAATTTTTGCTAGCGGCAGATATGATTGTCTGCATACATTCCTACATGTTCGTTGCTGTGTGTGACTCAAGTGTGTCTGTACTGGGTGGGCACTCAAAACAGGAAAGGTTTAAAGGTCAATTGTAAAATTGAATCGGTGTGTGTGTGCTGCAGTCAGATTAGTTTAAAACCGCTGCTCAATAGGACTGGATCGTTGACATCATGTGGACATTTCGCTGCATATGAATGCCTTTTTTAATTAGTATGTTTTCTTTCTCAATCCCAAATTTGGAAAAAACCCATGTTATTCGGCTTGGATAAATGAATACCTCCCTCAATGGCATATGAAGTTTGATCAATATTAATGACAACAATTTAAATTCAATTTTATTAGTCAGCATTCTGGTAACCAAACAGATTCAATTCATACACAAATTCATATGACTTCATCCATTGTATTGGGATGTTAAAGTATTTGAGACTGATTCAAGTCTGGGAGAGTTCATGTTGAGGGAGAGCACTACAGAAAGTTAATGATAACGGTTGTATTTTACAAAGCTGATAAACTTTATGTGTCAGCATTCAACAGTCCCTGAACCATGTTATGTCCCTTCCTCAGGCCCTTACTGTAGTGCTATAGCCCTAATTAAAGCAAGTCTAAATTTGCCACAGGTTCTCAATGGGTCTCCTTTTCAATTTAAATAGAGTGGCTTGTTTCTATAAAAAATATTTTTGCTTGGCAAAGCGTTAGTCAAGCGCCCCCTGGTTTAAACTAGATACTGGATCACTTGCATGAGTCGATGGTCTTTGTAAGTTAAAATTCTCACATAGTTCAGTTATACAGAAACTCTTTCTAGAATACCACTAATATGATTGATGTAATATGGTCAGGTAACTGATGGACTACATGTATTTATATCATACCTCCATGTCATGATGAGATCTGATTGGACCAAGTGATCTTGATAAAATACTATCTGTCCTGCTTTGGAAGGAAATACATTTCTCAGCTGGTGAATAAATCCCTTATACCCTTCCATGAACAGAAGACAAACTGCACATGGATTTCTGAGAGGAAACAATTTTTAAAGTTAATTTTTTATGTGTAAAATCATCATAATGTACTGTTGTAAAGCAACTTTTAAATATTTTATGGTTTCCAGATTATTACTGACTTTTCAAGTGACTGGGTAGAAATGTAAATAAAAATATATTTGTACAGCTCATATTTTTTTATTTTTAATATTTGGCATAATGTTGTTTGGGTGGGTTGGTTTATATAGACAAAAACAGATGATAAAGTTGTATACACTGCAGGATGATCACACTTTCTTCAGTAACCATGGTAACATGTATTTGTATTAATTACTTCTTTCAGAGAAGACTTTGTTTGCCTTTATTATGTGTTTGCGTTTGAGCAGTTAATATTTCCAACTTACCTTTCGTTCGATTTCTGAATTATTTTGTAATATTAGTATGAATAAGATATATACCCTTTGGGCAAATATGAAAGTACAGTTGGTTCAACGTGAAATGTTCTGCCAACTTTAGATTACACCTGCTATTCTGAAAGCAAGTTTATCGAGATTGTATAAGTTATCAGTGATTTTCAACAGCACTCCTGTTCCAAGCATGCTTCAGATCACTTGATTCTGATACATAAATATTGACTGCAAGGTTTATTACACTCTGCATGTCCTCCTGATCCCTGGGTCGGGTGAACAGGCTTATGATAATCAGTTTGTTTGACTTGCCCAGGAAGGCGTTGGTTCCTGCTCTGGCAGACAACATTGGATGACACATTGTGCCATATTTGCTGATCGCTGTTGGCACGGGACCAGGTGCTTGTGTATTCATTGATGTCAGGAGATACTTGACAAATAGCCTTTTGTCAATACTGCAGATATACTAGTCCCTTCAACCCATTCAGTATTATTTTCAGGCTATGAATAGGTTTAATGCATATAGTGCTACCACTGATAAGAGGCGCTGAGCTGAGGAAAAACCAAGACTGTCTTAGAGGTAAAGGTACAAAATTTTGGTGTAAAAGTCAATGTTAGGACTGAGTAGAAGGTTCGAGATAGCGCTATGTAATTTTATCTTGAATTTGAGATAAGCGGTTAAATAGATATGTTGTTATATATTTAAACGGTCAGGATCGGAGAAATGTTTAAAGATATCAGTGCCAAGATCAGAGATCTCGGAATAACTTGGTCCGATGTATAATTTTGAAATGTGTTTGCATTGAAAACACTGCAGTATCATTAGAGAGAAAGATATGATATGTGATGCATATCTATGCATATGCATTTCAAAATTATAAGCATTAGGAATATGTCTCATGGTTCAATGGTTGGAGAGAAAACAGCAACGCAGCATGATAATAAGATTGGAGTGCATTAATATCATAAACAACTATATACAATAACAAGAAGGTGCCAGTTAGCACTAATGGTGGTGGTACCCCGGGGTACCTGGCATTACTCCAGCTAGGCAGAGGGTGAGGCCACATCCACATCTAAATTCCACATCCACATTCACATCTAAATTCCACATCCACATTCACATCTAAATTCCACATCCACATTCACATCTAAATTCCACATCCACATCTAAATTCCACATCCACATCTAAATTCCACATCCACATCCACATCTAAATTCCACATCCAAGTCCACATCGCAAATACAACTCGCTCACTCGCTCACTCACTCACTCACTCACTCACCCACTTACTCACTCACTCACTCACGTAATGATACACAATAAATTTATGGAAAGTGTTATTTGACTACGGATTTATATCCCCTTCTGAATGTCTGATACAACATTAAGCTAGTTTACAGCTCACACCACCTTACAACCCCATAGTGAGCTTGTCCTTGTATATCATTCACGGAGAGAAAGAAATAATATCTGTATCAATGCCTTGCCTGACTTGCTCTCTAATGATATACAACAGACAGAGGTTTTTGTAATCATATGCCACTGCATTCTCATAAAGTTGTCGTGACCGATTTTGTTAAATGGACTGGTTGGTGAATAATCTTTCCGGGCATGATAGTGTGTGGGGGAGTCTTGCTGCTACACTCTGATTAATGATTACAATAGAAACACTCTACGCTGAGAATGGGAAGGTAAATAATGATTTGTCTTGCTAGTAGATTTGAGTTGTCAGTTATCCCCACAAGGAACATACTTGTGTCCTTTCCATTCTAGATAGTCTCAGCTTGCGTGACAACCGAACACCGACCAGTGTCTCGGAGAGTTGGGCAGCAGGACGGTCAGACAGGGGGGTCGGAGGGGATTCTCGGAGACCGTCAGTGACCGAGTCGGAAGAACGCGGATTTGTACCCCAGAATGTCGGAGCTGAGAAGGTGAAGACGGAGTTGCTGCATCAGGCCAGTGGACTGAATGAACGGGTAAGCGGATATACACATATGTACTGAGGAGTTTGGACTTGTCGCAGGGATTTTGTCATAATAGGTTTGTGTCCAGGCTGTTGTGCTGTTGTGCTGTTGTGCTGTTGTGATTAATTTACTTGATAGTTTGTTCATTTAGTATCCAATCAGTAATGCAATTTGTGATGTTTGATTATTTTTCAGTTATTGTTACATAATAACCAAAATCTGCCATGTGTAATAATGTTGAGGAAAGATATCTGATATGTTGCCAATTATATGTAAACGTGCCCTTGTTGAAAGTTTTGTGTAATTTTATCGAAAAGTTGCAGTTTCATAGACTGATAGTTAAGGAGATGACTCGATAAAGTATTGGCATTATTATTTGTACATATGGGTTAGGCATGAGGAGCCCGTTCTTGGTGTCCTCCCACCACAGTGTTGTTTCTGGAGTATTGATTAAAGAGGCATAAAACATCATTCCACTATGAATTTGGACATTACTCAATTCTGATTTATCAGTCAGAGGTATCAAATCACAATTACCACCTCTGATTGAAACAGGTAATGCTAGAAATATTACTTCTTTCTCAATCATTGTCAGCAGACACTTGTACATAAATATATGTACAAGTATTGGTTACAAAATGCAGAGCTGTGGTTACTACAATATATGAATGTATTCAGATATGTGGGGCCATACATTTTGGAAAGAAAACATGATAGAATGTTATTAGGGGCTGGTAATTTATTAAAGGGGAGGAGGGAGGGGCATGAAAAATTACACAGTTCTTCTTTTAAAAATAAAATAATAAATTTGAACATTATTTAGGGGTACTGGTCATTTATTGGTCATGAAGAAATGTCACATAATAGGAGGGCTGAAAATAGGATAGTCCTTAGACCAAAGTCACTGCCCCCCGTAATTAATGAGCAGGAGGGTGTATTTTAAGGGCCACTGTGAGACTGAAATTTTCCTCGCTTTCCTATAGCTGACTGTGACGTCATATGCCTTTGTCACACTGATTGGTGTGTCCTCATAATATTGACGTGTTGGAGGTAAACATACTGTGTGTTCAAAGTAGAGCAAGGTTACCTGTAGATTTAACCTTGCTAAATTGCACATATGAAACCTCATGTTGCATGTTCAGTTTCAAAGTCATTTTAGTCCTGTTAAATCCACAGGTAACCTAGCTCTACATTGAAATCACAGTGTGTTTATCTCCCAATCTACTAGATCATTAATTCGATTTTATGGTCTGAAATATTTTCAACACAAATAGAATATGACCTTACTGGCATTACATAGAGGGGAGTATCTCTGAATTACTAAATGGACACGACATTATATACATATTATTTTTCAGCTTTTAAGGATTATGCAAATATTTGAATAGTACATGTCACACTATTATCGTCATGTGTCGCCATCAGAATAGTATATGTCACACCATGTCATGTGTCGCCATCGGAATAGTATATGTCACACCATGTCGTCATGTGTCGGCATCAGAATAGTATATGTCACACCATGTCGTCATGTGTTGCTGTCAGAATAGTATATGTCACACCATGTCGTCATGTGTCGCCATCAGCAAGATCGACTATTAGATGTCCTTAAATCATACGATGCGGGTTTGAAACGCTTTCTGACAAAATTTGTAATCTTTCACTTGTCAAAAGAAATAAAAAAATAGTTCCGTCAATTTTCAAAGGGTGAATTAAGTGAAATGTTGGTTCAAGATAATGTATACTTGACAAACAACTGTCCATTCCTGAAAAATAATGGAGTGTTTAATCAATAGAAAAATGACATCACAGATGTGTAATTGGCCACAATGGTTGGAGATCATGGATGGTGTTTAGATTGTCGACATGCAAGTCAATAAAAGCTTTGATGTATGTATTGATAAAAAGTTGTCTCATTCTGGCCTGGTTCTAAGATAGCTTGTCACATCCTACATTGGGAAAACATGAATCATGAAAGTTAAAATGGATGATAGATCAGTTGGTGGGGAAAATATCAATACAACTTCGATTAGCTGTCAGTGTGTATGTCTGTGTCGGTTTATCTTATCTGACAAATGTCAGTTGTGTTGCGGACCAAGTTTTCTGCTTTCTGGAAACACTCACAGTGTCCAATGTCCTGCATCCACCAGATACTGGGAACAGGACGGGTCAGCGTGGGGTTGTATAGGACTGTCAGCGTTGGGTTGTATAGGATGGGTCAGCATGGGGTTGTATAGTACAGGTCAGCATGGGGTTGTATAGGACGGTCAGGGTGGGGTTGTATAGGACGGGTCGGCATTGGGTTGTATAGGACGGGTCAGCGTGGGGTTGTATAGGACGGTCAGCATGGGGTTGTATAGGATGGGTCAGCGTGGGGTTGTATAGGACGGTCAGCGTTGGGTTGTATAGGACGGGTCAGCGTGGGGTTGTATAGGACGGTCAGGGTGGGGTTGTATAGGACGGTCAGCATGGGGTTGTATAGGACGGGTCAGCATGGGGTTGTATAGGACAGGTCAGCATGGGGTTGTATAGGACGGTCAGCATTGGGTTGTATAGGACGGTCAGCGTGGGGTTGTATAGGACGGTCAGCATTGGGTTGTATAGGACGGGTCAGCGTGGGGTTGTATAGGACGGTCAGGGTGGGGTTGTATAGGACGGTCAGCATGGGGTTGTATAGGACGGGTCAGCATGGGGTTGTATAGGACAGGTCAGCATGGGGTTGTGTAGGACGGTCAGCATGGGGTTGTATAGGATGGGTCAGCGTGGGGTTGTATAGGACAGTCAGCATGGGGTTGTATAGGATGGGTCAGCGTGGGGTTGTATAGGACGGGTCAGCATGGGGTTGTGTAGGACGGTCAGGGTGGGGTTGTATAGGACGGGTCAGCATGGGGTTGTATAGGACAGGTCAGCGTGGGGTTGTATAGGATGGGTCAGCATGGGGTTGTATAGGACAGGTCAGCGTGGGGTTGTATAGGACGGGTCAGTGTGGGGTTGTATAGGACGGTCAGCGTGGGGTTGTATAGGACGGGTCAGCATGGGGTTGTATAGGACGGGTAAGCATGGGGTTGTATAGGACAGGTCAGCATGGGGTTGTATAGGACAGGTCAGCGTGGGGTTGTATAGGACGGGTCAGTGTGGGGTTGTATAGGACAGGTCAGCATGGGGTTGTATAGGACGGTCAGGGTGGGGTTGTATAGGACGGGTCAGCATGGGGTTGTATAGGACGGGTCAGCATGGGGTTGTATAGGATGGGTCAGCATGGGGTTGTATAGGACAGGTCAGCATGGGGTTGTATAGGACGGTCAGCGTGGGGTTGTATAGGATGGGTCAGCATGGGGTTGTATAGGACAGGTCAGCATGGTGTTGTATAGGATGGGTCAGCGTGGGGTTGTATAGGACGGTCAGCATTGGGTTGTATAGGACGGGTCAGTGTGGGGTTGTATAGGACGGTCAGCGTGGGGTTGTATAGGATGGGTCAGCGTGGGGTTGTATAGGACGGTCAGCTTGGGGTTGTATAGGACAGGTCAGCATGGGGTTGTATAGGACGGTCAGGGTGGGGTTGTATAGGACGGGTCAGCATGGGGTTGTATAGGACGGGTCAGCGTGGGGGTTGTATAGGACAGTTCAGCATGGGGTTGTATAGGACGGGTCAGCGTGGGGTTGTATAGGACAGGTCAGCGTGGGGTTGTATAAGACGGGTCAGCATGGGGTTGTATAGGACGGGACAGCGTGGGGTTGTATAGGGCGGGTCAGCGTGGGGTTGTATAGGACAGTCAGCGTGGGTTTGTATAGCATGATGTGGCTTGATGCACTGAACTCATTATACGATGAGTATTGTGTAAATTACCTAATGACATCAATATTACTGGGTACATACCTTATTATATGATAATTTGACTTACCTCATATGATACTATATTAAAAATAAATTACTTCAAGATGTTACATTTATTATACTTACCTTATATGATACATTTTATAAATAAATTCCTTAAAAATATGTTACATATATTATACTTACCTTTTTATATGAGACATATTATAAATATATTTTTTAAAGATATGCTACATGTATTATATTTACCTTATATGATACATATTATAAATAAGTTATTTCAAGATATGCTACATATATTATACTGCTACATTTGTTATATCGGTACTTACCTTATATGTTATGATACCTTATTAATATTTTGGAAGATATGAGACATATATAACACTTACCTTATTACATGTATTTGATACATATAAATATAGTACTTGCATATAAAATACATGTATAATACATATTATATTATTATACCTAAATCACTTGAATATATAATTCATGTATCATACAATCATACACACAATGATATGTATCCCATTAGATACGTCATGATAAGATACATATTTTATTATGCTCACCTCATGATATTTTACTTTAAGAAAAACAACATTCACAAATTTTCGGTATTTTCTAGATATATATCTGCTTTTCTCAAGTAGAGAAATGTTCTGGCTTAGTTGTTATATAATATCAACAGCATGAACATTTCTATGGCCCCAGAACCTGCAAATCAGTTTAGTGTGTCATGTACTGATGATGAAACCACTAATTAAGTCAAGGATTGAATGCATTAATGTGTGTTGAATCATGACAGTTGACACCTGTTTTGGGGAAAACAGTACATGTATGAAATGCTTGAAACAAAACACAAAGTTCTTTAATAGATCTGTTCACTCGATCACTGACTCCCATATTTCCCCATCTTTCAGACATGTTACATTTAGACATAACCTGTCATGAACCACCAATAGTTCATGTTCAACAAATGATGCTCTTATAACTCAACTGCAACTTCTAAAATACCTCTTAGATATATATCAAGTTGTTCACATAAAACAGATTTGTAAATAAAGGTTGTCCTTTATCCCATGGTAAAGTAAATCTTACAAATAAACTACAAACATGTATTCATAAAAATCAACCGATCTTACTCAAACTCCGTAACATGTTGAACATAATTCTTGTGTGAAAAGCTTTAGACTAGAATGAACCCTGCATAATAGCCTCACCTAGACAACAGTGTACAAAGATAATATCAAGTGTCAGACCTGATCTACTGGTGAGAGGTGTGAGTCAAGGGGCATTTCCTAGTCCAAGCCTATTGTGAGAATTTCCAGGAGGGTATTCAAACCATTAGATCATGTAAGATTGTACCTAAGGCTTGGTATTGGCACAGGAGAAAAGTGTAAGGTATGTTTTTGGTTCCTCAAATGGCATTTTAGAAGTTTTATAAAAGATATCGTTTAAATTTATACTATTTAGATTGTAAGGTAGCTTTGCATTAGCTTGGACAAACATTGTAAGTTTTTATTTACATTCCACAAAGAGAATTCGATGTTTTTGGAGATGATGAAATTTGTACATATACCAATAAGATTGTTCATATTTCTGGGAGCAAACTGTGAAGTATGAATGTTTGTTATTCAAGTCAGTTTTCTGGTGGGTAGAAGTTATGATAAACTATTTTACATTGTATAACTGCATGGCATTGGAACATGAAAACATTTTGTGGTGTGATTTGCTTTCCTCAAAGGCATTTTAGAAGTTTTCTTAAAGGTTGGATTCAAGCTGATAGCCTGATACCATTTGGATTGTACTTGTTGTTGGGGTGTACACAGGTAAACTTGTTAGGTATGAATTTTCTTTCTCAATGAGACCTTTTTCTTGAGGTCGGAGTTTATACTGGTAGCATTTTGATTGTAACATGCAGAGATTAAGATTGTAAGATATGAATTTGGTTCTCTAGGTGGTATTTTAGAAGCAGTACATAATGAATGTATTATCATGACATTGTCGATAGATTTCAAGAAGGTAGTTCACATAGGGTTGGGATGGGTAACTCGGGTACTCTCTTGAGACCTGCAGTGGGTACCCGGGTAGGGCCGGGTAATAGGGGATCGGGTACCGGGTAGTAAATTTGGACTCGTCCCACCCCTTAGGTCACACCTTGTAATGAACAAAGGGTAAGCTTCTTCTTTGCTAATTGATGTTAAGGGTCACAGTTGGCTCAGCCGTCCAAGGCACCACAATTTCGCTGTGCAGAGTTGTGTCCCTTGGGCATGCCAGAAACCTTTGATCGTGGGTACGAATTCCGGTTCACTGTGATTATGTTTCTAGGTTTGTTAGCACCATACCATGCTGTGGGTTTCACCAAAGTGGTAAACGTCCGACACCTGCATCACCTCAGGCTTAATTCCTCCTATGTCCTTCCGACATGCCGTGATATAACTGGAATATGGTTCAAAGTGGCGTTAAACTCCTCTCACTCACTTACAAATTGATTTTAACATATTCGAATTAATAATTTGTATCCATCAAATAAAATATAAACAGTTTGCATGTAGGACAAAATATATGAACCGTGTATGCCAGCTTTCTCTACTATTCTGTATTATTCAAGAACATGTAGCAGCTAAAATTGTGAATAAGGATAAACAGTTTGAAACATGAATTGAAACAATCTTGATCAATGATGAATTAACAAAATATTGTACAGGAAATGGAAAAAATGCAGATTATTAAGGTTGGTTATTAAGAATAATATATAACCCCCGAGAACCACTGAATGGAAAATAGATTTATTAGTTAAACAAGATATTAAATATGAACCAGAACATACTATGCCCTACAGTAGTGTCGGTAGTTGATATCATAGAAGAGCAATCAATATGTCATGGCTTTTTGTTAGCGCTGACATATTTGACCCGCCTTTCAGTACAAACAAAAGGAATATCGGTCCTATCTTTGGTTTTATTTTGTATTGGTATCAGTTGTGCCGGTCTGAATACAGGTATTTCAGGAATGCTTTGTTGTGCTTAATTAATTCCTTTTAGATGGGAAAGGCATGGAATAACAACATTGCCTGGGGTATACTGTTATTGGTTAGGGTAATGCTGTTGGTTTTTACAGACATTACAGGGGACTTTGATGTATGCAATTAATTTGAAATTGAATATGTTTTCAAGTAGAGTAACCATTATGGTCTGGACTCTTGGTTGTAGATTGGAATTGTGGTAGATCTATGAGGACAGGTTTTGCACACCTCATTGCATTGTACATTGGATTTCATAGTTTGCCATTTTCATCAATTAATCCCATGTTTTGATGCCCGACGTTCTAGTTTTTGTATTGTTTTGATGTGCAGAGCTGTTACCAGTAGTATTTCCCATCAGTTAAGCTGTGTTTGTTCTGATTAGCTTATGGGGAGAATTGGTCCCTGTACTGTATAAGTTGTAGCATTGTCATGAGGGGTACATGTAGTTTTATGTGTCCCACACTTGTATGTGGGTGATTATTTTTACTGCTGTAACAAATTTATTATACCGACATGTTTAAGTCAGCCATTGTAAAAAAATGAAAACAAATTCAAAATTGATAGAAAACAGCTGTTTGATTGAGCTGAGGTTGACTTGTGGTATGTCATGTGACTTTCATTGACTTGGAAAAGCATGCAGGCTATTGCTTTGAAGCGAGGTATAAGGGATTTATTCTCTCACTCAGAAATCCATGTGCAATCTGTCTTTTTCATGGTGGGGTATAAGGGATTTATTCTCCCGCTCAGAAATCCACATACAGCCTGTCTTCTTCATGGTGGGGTATAAGGGATTTATTCTCCCTCTCATTTAACTTCCACATTCTGTTACAGATTGAGTCCTTCAACTCCCTCCTGGAGCAGAGACAGCTGACCCTTGAGGAGCAGGAGGAGGTGCTTGAGAACATCCGCACTGACCATGAGGTCCTCCGTAGACACTACCTCCAAGCAAAGGAGGACTACAACGTACTTCGGCGATCAGGTGCCTCCCTCAAAGATGCCAACTTTGACCAAGGCAAGGAACTGGAAGGAGAGCTGTTCCGATTGGGTATGAAATTTGATGAAATTCATGCCAATGTTGACACAAACTTGATGGAAAAAGCAGCACTCCGTCAACCGTTCCAAAGCAACAGACTCGCAGACTCAATGGAGGACAAGGATGAAGATGATGAACATGCAATTGACCAACTGAAGAGGAAGATGCAGGGGACTCTAGCAGGAAGTGATGTTGTGCCACCCAAAGAGGATACCGATTTTGAGAAAAAGTTACAAAGACTTCATGATGAGTATAATGCGTTAATGGATCGGTACCGACGGTTGAAACAGATGGCCAAAACGCCTGAACGTGACAAGGAGATTGATAACTTGGTCAGAGTAAGTATGTTTGTGAAGTTTTCGATTGTTTTTGACAATGGATGTTCTGTGATCAAAAGGAATGTTTGTTTGTGAATGCTCAGGTTTTATGCTGGGATTTATCTGGGATCCCAAACAAGCAGGCAAACTGGAAAAACATAATTGTTTGTTCAATATTGGTATATAAGATTTTGAATATGATTGACTTATGGATTCCGCCTTTAACACAGTTTTCTTATGATTATGGAAAAGGTTTTATCACTTTCATTTAAGCTATTTTTTTCAAATTCAGAGGTATTTTAACATTGTATTCTTAGCACTTAACATTAATTAAACTACATCAGTTAAAATTTGTTCATTTGAACGAGTAATCTGTTTGAATCATTGACCTTTCTGTTCTTTGTTCCTGTAATTGCGCCATCCATTTCAATTAATTGTTCCCTTAATTGTTCTGTTCATTGTTACCTTATGGGGCACGGGTGGCCCAGTCGTCTAAATAGCGATTCGCTGTGCAGAGTTGCATCCCTTGGGCATGCCATAAACCTATGATTATATGTTCGAATCCTAATGTGCCCCGTTTATGTTTTTAGGTTTGTCAGCACCATACCCATGTAGGTTTCACCGAAGTGGTAAAACGTCTGAGACCTGCATCACTTTGGCCTTTCCTTCCACATTAAGCTGACTCGCCGTGATATAACTGGAATAATGATAAAAGAGGCGTTAAACCCAACTCACTCATTGTTACGTTAATTGTTCTATTCATTGATCCCTTAATTGTTTTATTTGTTGTTTGTGTTGATCAATTCATTGTATTCCATTGTTCTCAAAATTGTTCTGTTCATTGTTTCATTAATTGTTTTCTATTGTTCTGCTGACTATAGAAACTGAAGCAGATTTGTGATGAAGCTCCGGACATGTTCCGTCTTGCTCCAGAGCTGGAAGAAAGGTTTGTCCCTTGAATTTGTCAGCTCATCCTGGGATGCCAGGGAAAGTCCCCATGAAATGTGATTCCTAAAAAGAAATTATGTATCCTTGAAATATGTCTAAGGCCAAACTTTTTCAATTTCATGTTTCACAGATTTATTCCAGCTTTTCCACACAAGGTTGGTCAAAATATAAATAAGAGTAAAAAGCAATGTCAACCATTTATTTATTTATTCTGCCGTGGAGTTTATATGCAGCTGGCTTCTTGAATCACTTTTAGACTAAAAGTTTTAGTGATGTAAACATGGATTTTTTATTGAGGGTCTGTATTACTCACCGGAGACATAACAAAAATAAATACTTTTATGTTTAGTTTATTTATTTTCTGGCTGTTTTTCAAAAGGAGTGACAGGCCTGTGAAAATAAAAATAAAATGTGTTGCCTAATTGAATCCTGCAATATTGCAGCTAAGAGCATTTATAGTGTTTATTTTATTTATTAATCCCTACTGTTTAAACGTGGACTCAGGTGCCACTGAGAAGAAATAAAAATATTGTCTCTTGAATCTGAGATTCTTCAAGATTTACATCTGTTTGGTTTGTCTGTACCATGCCTGTGTTACTTGGTTTCACCAAACTTGTAAACATCTACTAATTTGAAAATTCATCCATCACAAAGTAAAACTCTTTGATATGACTGAATTACTGTTTATATCTGTGATAAACACACCTGCCTGACTTTACTTGAAACAGCCCCAAAGAAGATAACTGAAAATACCCCTAGGACTACTCACCACCTATCATGATGTTTTCTATAAATGCACATCTTGAAAATGATAGTGAATGTATTTCACTTTGCAAAAAAAAAGTAATTTCTGAAACATATTTTATTCTGACATCTGTGGATTTTTGGGGCATTTCATATGTTCAGTTGTTACTTTTCTGATTCAGTGTAATTGTGCCCCAACATGTTTAATATTGGCTCACTCACTGACACACTCAGGCCACCCACCACGCAGCTGCAACAACCCAGCCTCGAACCATCCGACCTACCTCCCAACCACCCTGCCCCCTAACCACCAACTTTTAAAAGCCCACCCAACCAGTCAACCAACTACCCTACCTCCCAACTATTGAACAAACCTTTAAACGTCCAACCAGCAACCATCCAGCCCTCCCAATCACCCACCCACCCATTCACCCACCCATCCACCAACCCACCAACCCACCATGCAACCATAAACCAATTTCAAAACAACCCAACCCACCACTCATCCAATTATTGAACAAAATTACAAACATTCAACCAACATTGATCCAAACTCCAAACCACCCAATCAACCAACCAACCAACCAAGAAACAACCAGTCAATGGTTTAATCGTCCTGTGTAGTGCATTTGGAATGCTGTGATCTGAAATGCAAATTTATTGTGATATTTCTTTTTAAGCTTTTCATCATAAGATGAGAAATACAGAGTGAAAAGATGAACTTAAAGATTGACATTATCTTGTTTTGTTTCCAGATGGGAGAGGATGCAGAGACAAGAATCAAGAAACGCATCACGTGGGCAGTCTCCGCAGCCGGAATCAGCATCCCCTGGGGCCTACTTCCTGTCGGGAGAGGAGGCGAACAGACTACAGCGACAAAATCAGGTCAGTTTCAGACTATCACAATACTATTCCAACAGTTACAAATGCCTACAATAGTCAACACCAGTTACAAGTAAACCCCCGCAGAAAGTCTGCATGGTTTAGTAGGAGTTGCAAGTATTTTATGGGTGCTTCATGGTCTTCACTATTTCATTAAAAATAGAACTGGAAAAATGAGAATAGTAAAAGTACATAAAATAGACATGTTATATTGCTGTAAATATTGATCAATTACTATGAGAACTGATAAATTGATGTGTGCTGAAATTAGCTAAATATTACCATGGTTACAGGGAAGAAGTACGCCAGACTACAGGTCAGATTCCCAGGACCGACACCAGGAGCCAGGAACCAGGCCTGGTGGCCAGGAAGGTATGTTTCATAAATCTGGCTCCGATCTTCAAGGTGATGTTAGTGATACAATTGTCAATAATCCCAAACGTCAACACAAGACAGTTATAGTACTAGCATCCCCATGGAACGGATCACTGATATCATTGCAGTCCGGTACAGATTATCCATTCTTATGGGTACGATTTATGGCTTATGGGTACAATGTGTGAAGCCCATTTCTGGTCTTCCCCGCTGTGATATTGCTGGAATATTGCAAAAAGTGGTGTAAAACCATTCTCGCTCGCTCACTCGCTTTACTCACTGGTTTGTTGTAAATGGGGATTTTATGAATGTTTCGAATGATTAATCACAAAATTGTAGCTATGTTTTGTTTGATTTGTTCAATTTTGTGCAATAAATTGCTTTCTATCGGCTGTATGTAACAGAGAGACTGTTGAATAATTTTCTTAGATATTTTTACCAAGTTCATAAATCAATGATACAAGTAAAAGTATATTTTTACATTTGGGAACATTAGTTGATGAGATCAATAACCTATGAAACAGGTTTAATGGCATAATTAGTTTTGCATATTTAGATCACAGAGCAAACGTTGCATGTAGGTAATTTTCCTAATTTTACATTCAGGAAGTGGAAATAGAACAAAATATGAAAAAATGAATGGTTACCATGGCAACACATCCAGAGACAGTTTGTCATCTCGAGATCGAGCATCTCCTTCAATGCCCAGTAGAGGGCGCCTCTCACCATCCTCACATGATCGGCGATCACCGACACAAGATGGACGTTCGCGGTCACCTAGGGATGGCTACTCGCCAGTCATCAGAGGAGGTCCTCGGGGATCAGGACGCCCCACCCTCAACATCTCCAGGGACAGACTGTCGACTGACGGGAGAGAGCTCTCACGGGACGATCCAAACACATCACTGCCCCGCCCTAGACGCCACAGTCATGACTTCAGGGACCACAAGATGAGGAAGGTATGCAATATTTTTCAACATATTTAAAGAGGCACTAGGCACAAAGTCCTTCACGTTGAAATCCATATTGTTCACGTACTGGATGCCTAGTTCATTACAATATTTTGATTGGACTATGCCTATACTCATTAGTCCAGCCAAAATGTAACTCTAGAATTCCAGCCTAGTTCGGCAAGGGTGGTAACTGGATGTTTATAGTCAGTTAACGCCCTTGCCTTTGAATATGACAGTCCTTGCAAAAATGAATTTGGTCATTCAAACTCAAAATGAAACAAACGAAAAATGGTTACTGGATGGTGTTCTATATGATATGGGTATAATATTTGTGTTTTGGACTTCACATTTACAGTGTTTCGGCAACTGTTTTGCAGCCTAGTAGCGTTTTCAGAACATTTGTAATTGTTTTGGTCAAATCCATTTTTCAAGTTTATATTTTCCTTTGCCCGGTAGTCTTTAAAGATACTACTCAACATTTGTTAAGAAGCACACCTTTGACTAAAGTGACTATTATAGTCCTAAGCATATGTTGAGTAGTGTATGAGATTACCTTAATAACCAAAAAACATCATGCCTAAATTACATATCTATGAGTAAGTGCAGTCACCCCATAAATGACATCCTCCCTCGTCACCTTGCTGATTATCCTCTTTGGTCATGTGGACAAGGCGTCCAACCATAGATCAGAAAGTCCATGGTTTGATCCCATCACAGAACTTGGAAATGTTATGATTCCTGTGGGTAGACTCATGGTACTAATTGTAGTGTCTTTACCTACACTGATGATGGGTACTAGAACATGTGAATTACACATAGATCTAAGCTGAACTCGCTTTCCGAGATGGCATGAATGAGAGAAATTCTGTGCTGTTTTTGATAAGAGAGATGGAGCTGGTGACGTAATTTTCAACATGAAACGATCTTGGTAATTGGGTCCAGGGTATTGATCGTAATAGAATGGATATATCATACTCAGGATAATCAAGGATGTGCGTATACTGACTTTGCTATGAGACAGCATTGACTCACTGACGGACGTGTTCTTTGTTTAGCATCCTGGTGGTGGCAGCATGCATAGTCTGGATGACAGCGGCATCTCGGACCAGGAACAGGGGGCACTCGCCAACCTGCCGGGCCCCGGAAAGTTCAAGCAGATGACGAAGCAGACAGGAGCTGACGATGTGGACAGTGGATTTATAGGATCGGTGGTTGGGTCAGACGTCACTCGTCCGTTACCTCAGCAGCAGCAGCAGCAACAACAACAGCAGCAGCCACTGAGACTGAGACACCCTGGGGACTCAGGGAGAAGGAACAGGGCGAGGTGAGACAAACAATCTTAATCCATGTCCATATCCGTATCCACATCCATTTGCAAATCCATATCTACATCCACATCCAAGTCTACATCTACATCTAAATTCCACATCCACATCCACATCCATTTGCAAATCCATATCCACATCCACATCAATATCCAAGTCCACATCCACATCCACATCTAAATTCCACATCCACTTTGCAAATACAAATCCACACTCACTCACTCACTCACTCACTCACTCACTCACTCACTCACTCACTCACTCACTCACCTCACCTCACCTCACCTCACCTCACCTCACCTCACCTCACCTCACCTCACCTCACCTCACCTCACCTCACCTCACCTCACCTCACCTCTACCTTTTTTTTATTTTCAGTAGTGTTAGAAGTGGTGCTGACACAAGCACATCGGACACAGGTCATGGTCGGTCAAGGTCAACTAGAGACAGTGAAAGTGACCGTAGAGATAGTAGCATGCAGAATGATAGCATGGAGGTGACGGCCAGTTTCATGGATGACCCGACAGAAACAGAGGTCAGTGAAAGTGACAGAGGTCAGAGGTCGCAGAAAAGACAAGGTCGCGAGAATCGGAATGTGGGTCAGCATGACCGGACTTCAGAAGGTTACTCAGGAGAAGGTAATTCTAATTGTTATTGTCACAAACTTGAGTTTGAGTATGTTAAAAGACATTTTTGTTCATGTTCTCTACATGAAAGTTGCATAAGGAAGCTTGTATAAGTGAGGTTTCCGTTACTTATATTTTAAAGATAATTTATACAATGTTGAATTATTTTTTTACAATTTTCATGAATGTTTTTTTAATATAATATCCTGATTATATTTAAATCCATTAGTAATCAGAATCAACTCTTCAGATTTGTTTATGGATCATATTCTAAACAGCTTAAATTTCAATTTCATTCCTTGATAACTTGATGCTTTTTCTGTGACCAGAAGACACCGATGCTACACCAAAACCTTCAACAAGGTTGAAAATTAGCCAAAAAACAGAAAGCAAGGAAGTCGCATCACCAGCTAAACCTCAGCGGAAGTCACGCACCCTGGTGTCAGAGGAGGAAGAGGAGGTAACTCCGAGAGCTACACCAACACGAGGGATGGGAGGATCTCGATACGCCTCTTCATCTGACATGGAGACACCGAGAAGTGTCCAGGCAAAGACAAGACAGACTGCTCCGCCAAGATCAGGGGCCACCAGGGCGACACCTGCTGGCAGACAGCTGGATCGAACAGAAGAACGAACTGTTAAAGGGCGAGAATCCCTGCTGAAGAGTAATCTCCAGCAAAGGAAGGAAGATAGGGCAGTGGGGTCAGATCGAGAGTGGGACAGAGGTCACGAGTCAGATGCTACACGTTTGTCGTCTGCATCAGGGTTAGTGTAGATAATATCATCAGGTCGTTGTTGAAGACAGACTTCACATATGATCCCCTATATTGAAATACCCAAAACAAGATATAAATTTACCCATACATAGCCATATACATTTGATACGAGTGGACACATCCATTGCACAGTGAGTGAAACTGATTTGAAAGTCATTTCAGCTCAACTGAAGTCTGCAAAGTAACCAGTTTCATGCACTGTAGAATACACTGCTTCTTACTTCAGTGCTGTGCACTACCAAGCTAGGGTGTATTCCAATGTTGGGAAGACCGTCTCCATTGTCTAGTTGTAGAGCGTCCGCCCGGAGTGTGGAAGGTTGGGGGTTCAATCCCTGGCCACGTCATACGAAGACATTCAAAGATGGTACTTTTTGTTACCCTGTCTGGGGCTCGGCATTTAGGGGCTAAAACAAGGACTAGTTGGCTCGGCATCAATATATTGTGTCTGAGTTGGGTATTCATGTTAAACTGTGGCATGGTATCTCAGTTGGCTAGCAATATAAAAATTGGCATTAGTTTGAACTAGTACAAGCAGCCACACACACACACATACACACATGCATGCATGTTGCTATAACACTGCAATAATCACCATGTTAACCCCATCTCAACTCACCTCCAGTGTTTGTAAAGGTAACAGCCCCTCAGCCATAGTGCTTATAGTTCCTAGTATCTTGCTCACAGTCTTAGAATAAGGCTCGGGCACCCCCCATGTGCTGCCATTTGCTGTGCTGAGTTAAATTCCTTAAGCATGCCAGAATCCTGTGACTGTAGGTTCTAGTCCTGGGCTTGATGACATTGATTAAATTTTGTGAATTGGTAAAAAAGAAATCTGTCGATACCATTTTGTAAGTAATAGTACTTTCACAATAGTTCAGTTTCAATCTTGAAAGAATTTCTTTTTGTTCTTAACTGTTGTATTTATTTTGAAATACTGTTTCTTTGACTGTTATTTATTGGAAGTTGTTATTTGTTTTCAGGTCTCGTCTACGCGCTCTACAGGATGAGGTTGAGAGGTTAAAGGAGAGAGTGGAACAGGCTGTGGAAACCCCCCCTCAAGCCCCTCCTCTACCTCCTCAAGGTCAGCCCGAGTACTATGACCCTTTTGATGATCCTTATGGCTTCATGAGAATGCCAAGGAGAAGAGCCAACTCCTTTTCAGGCACCAATGCACGGGAGTGGGATGAATGGTACTGGACACTGCCCAATCAGCGGAAGAACGATGGCTCGGACATTCCTCTTGGCTACGCTGCTGCGGATGCTTACGCTGAAGCGCCCCCACCACAAGCTGCAGAATCTCCCGCCAGAAGTCGATTACGGAGACGCAGAATGGAAAGGATGAAGAAAACAGAGCAGGGAAATAAGCCTGCAAGTGGACCTATAGAACATCCTTCTCAACCTTTTGCAGGTCCTGGAATTGTGCTAGGTGCTCATCCTGGGTTAGCAACTCATCCGGGAGTAGCAACTCATCCTGGGGTGGCAGCTCATCCTGGGGTGGCAGCTCATCCTGGAGCTCATCCAGGTTTGAGGCCAGGAGCTGTGCCAGGAGCTGGGCCTGGAGCTGGGCCTGGAGCTGGGCCTGGAGCTGCCCCCGGAGCTGTAGGTGGGTTTGTCGGGGCACCTACATCCCCTAGAGATGGGGAGGGTGTTGGACTTTATGAATATTATGTCCCTTCCAGGTACAGCACACAGGGGATGAGACAGCAACTTGCCAGTAAGGGTTATTTCCGTACTCCCTCTGGTGCCAAAATCTACGCCAATCAACAGCCAGGTGCTCCCCAGGTTCCTGGTTACCATCCAGCTGTTCCCCACGGACACCCCCCGCCTCAATATGCCTACTCTAACTATGGAGAGGGTCATGTCAGCCGAGGCTACCAGTCCGATACTGCTGGCATGCACCCAGGAACAAACCGTCCCTTTTATACTATCCGTCGTTCTTCCAATAGACCAGCAGTGTTTTCTGTGCCAAGGTCAAGGCCAGTTATGCAATCCTACTATGAGGACTATGATTCTGTGGATGGGCGGTCAGGCTATCAGACTGATCCTGGAATCGGGGCTGGTTCCCGGACATGGAGACAGAGATCGTATGTGGTTGAAGCAGCGACCTGTCCTCTCTGTGGAGGCTCAGGAGAACATACGCATGCTGAATATGATGAAGGCGACAACTTGCAATATCACACCAGGGAATTCGTCACAGAGAGGTGAGTTTTTCAAAATGTGTGCTCATTCTCCCTTGCAATTGTTTATGTACAAGGTGACTATTTTGGGAAATGGAAAGTGTGACACTCGTTTCTGGCGTCACCTGCCATGAAATGAATATTGCTGGAATATTGCTAAAAACGACATAAAACGACATAAAACCTTACTCACTCACTCACCAGTTTGGGCATTGTATAGGCAAAATGTTTACAGTGTGTAGATATAGAATAGCCACGTATTGACCATCACGCAAATTACCATTTTCAAAGGGGCATAATATGTACATATTTATTGATTTTTATAGCTCTAATATCCATGGAGTTAACATAAAACTGCTCAAAAGTGCTGTTGAGTTTGAGACAATACACTTCCAGAAAGAAAATAATACTGTATTATTTTCTTTCAGTAACTGCAGTATATGTGTGTTAAAATGCCATTAATTAGGCATCCACGGCATGATGCAAGGGACCACTCACTGAAGGCTTTGATGCACTGGTTGTAGTTCAAATGACAGCTAAGAGTAAAACCATATTCACTCACTCCTTCCTAACTTCCATGTCAATGTGAATGAATGCAAACATAACCTTGTACATTTTGTAAGCTAATTTTGACTGTTTAGATCGAGTAGGCCTCATAGAAGGTCAAGGTCAGTGTCAAGGTCAGCATCAAGGTCACATCACTTTAGCCCGGAGCGGAGTAGCAGTTACTGGATTCGTGAGTTCAGAGACACTTCCAGTGATGACACAGATGAAGAGATATATTCACGGCGAAGAAGGTTGGTGCCAAATATTTAGTTAGTAAAATGGAAATTCATTTTCGTTATTGTGTCTTCTCCATCAGTCATCCAGTGCCTTTCAAAACCTAGTGGCTTTGATTTCCCCTGTATGTATATTGTCTTCTGCATTGCCGTTTTGCATGTATCATTGTAAAATTTAATGAATATGCTGTGAGGATGTCTGTTTAGTGTAGACTTTAGTATTACTTTGACTTATTGGGTGGACCATCTTCCCGAGGCAAGGGAGTTAACTGACTATAAAAGTCTTGTGTTGCCAAACTAGGCTGGGATTCTGGAGTTACGTTTTGGCTGGAGAAACGAGTCTATGCATAGTCCAATCAAAATTGCGTAACGAACGACAGCGATTTCAATGTGCAGATTTCGGTCGACTGCAGGATTTGCAAAGCATGTGTACCGCCAATTTGGCATCGATAGATATTTTGCAATTTTTTTCATGTTTTCAATTGAGGTGCTTATGTGATCTCATTCACTTCCCGGGGTAAGACATGTTTTATTACAATATAGATCTTGATTATCGATGAGATCAACTTGGCTTTTGTTTGAAGCAAATGCAAGTGAAAAGAGAGATGGAATCTGATTGGTCAATAGGAGGGACATAGAAGGGACATAGAAGGGACATAGAAGGGACATAAGTCATAATAGCCACTGGGGGCACTACGATTGAGCCTGGAAATTCCAGCCTTTTCATCAAGGGTGGAAACTGGACGTTTATAGTCAGTAAACTCCCTTGCCCTGGGAAACTGTGGGTGGACAGGCTCGCTGACTTTGTTAATTGCAAGCATCGTACCAGATGGAATAGGTTGTTGTTCATAATATTGACCACTGGTTTGTCTGGTCAAGTTTGATTATTTACAGGCCATCCAATTGGTGTGCTATTGTTGCATGTGGCATTAAACAACAAACAAAACAAGTAGTTTTATTTTTTGTGAAACTCTTTACGAGTTCTGCCACGGATCGGTAGTGTAACCCGGTCACCAAGTTTGTCACATGAACAAAGGTTTTTAGGCATGGCCAAGGCCGCAGCATACAATCAGAACACATGATACCTCTCAAATAGCAATACTATCGTTATGACAATCTTTCCTGTGGAAGCCTATAAAAGTAGTTGTTTTGCGGAATTGGCTTTTATAACGTCGATTTACTAATATTGAGCTTGTAGAGAATATTTCAATCGATAAGGACATGAAATTCAGCTCGGTGTGACGTTAAAAAAAATAGTCATGTTTTGATGGGCGTCCGTTCAATAGCAGATTTATTAGAGATCGTTAGTCAAAGCATAACTAGCTCCAAAACGCATGTGTATTTTATGTTGTTGTTTTTTTCAAATATTTTTTTTATTAAATTCAGTATATGACATTACAGAGTAATACATTGAGTAGCATGTCTTGTGGTATACTTTTTAGGTATAGGTTACATACCTATACAGCACACAGCAAGTCAGCAAATTTTAAGTTGGCAACAATACAAGAAGCTGACAAAGCTGAAGCTATTATTGGCCCCTAAACTTTCGACAAATTGATCAGAATACCCCTTGGGGCAAATGCTGACAATCCTTTTGCATTTTTTGCATTTTGTAATCTTGGTGGTTTTCTTGTCCTTACTTTTGATAATCTTTTTCAGGAGCCGAAGTTTATCACGCACAAGACGGAAAACTAGAAAATATAGAAAAGTGCATGGCTCCTACAGTGACAGGGATGTTGATGTGAGTTGCTTTGTTTTCTTTTGTGAAGATCCGGGGTAGAATAGGTCCTCAGCAACCCATGCTTGCTGTAAAAGGCGACTATGCTTGTCGTAAGAAGTGGTCGGGCTTGCTGACTTGCTTGATGCATGTCACTGTATCCCAATTGCGTAAACGATGCTCATGATATCAATCACTGGATTTTCTGGTCTAGACTCGATTATTTACAGTCCGCCGTCATATAGCTGGAATATTGGTGGGTGAGAAATGAAACATCCAATTACCTGTATGCCAAATTTATAGAAGACATGAAAAAACACTTTTCATAATCAAATATAGAAGTAACCATGATAACTTATTGTTGTATTGCATTTTGTTTTTGAGGCATAAATCAAAACTCATCTTTTTTGGGGGAAGTGTACACATATTCAAATGCCCATTAGCATGAAGACAGATTCAAGTGACTTTCCAAAGATTTAATTTTTCTAAAATGTACTTTTGTAACAAATTCCAATTTTTTTTGCATGTTTTTGTTTCTTTACACTTGATATGTTGAAAGCTGGGGGCTTTTTCTTATACCTGGTTAGAGTCATAAAGGACACTTTATCAATTGAGGTGCCTCTACTTTTTGTATCGATCCCCAATTGAAACAGCATCTCTCTACCCTGGTCAGTACATGTATTAACAGTGGTTTGTTGTGTACACTAAGAAACCTGTTCGACATGTGATCACAGTTATTTTTGCCTTTGAGTACTTACTGAAAACTCTTGTCAGTCATATGTTCCCTGACAGCTAGTGGAAATTTGTATGCAATTTCAGACAATACTTTTTAAACATGTTGGGATAGGAATGTACCCAAAAATTTGTTTATCCAGAAATTGTTTAACCTTACATATAACTTCAATGGAAATATGCTACATGATTTAAGGGACCCTGCATATGATAGTAGAAGAATATTTGATGAACAATTTACATGTAATAGTAAAAACAATGTCGTTGTTTCAGAAGGACGATTCACTAGATATTGATCTGAACGAGTCTCTGAATCTGACTGAGGATATTCGTGGTCTCACACGGAAGATGCTACGGTCTATGCGTTCCGACTTACGCAGTTATAAGAGGCGGGATTTTGGCTCTTCAGAGTGGTGATGCCAACAAGGAAAGCCTCAGTTCCTACATACTATGATACTGATTGCTCCAGTTTCCTGAAGCCCAACACTTTTACCTCGGACCTCACTAGCAATTCAAGCACAGTATAGTTCCAGAACCTGAAGGTCAAAGCCGGATAAGGGGTGGTCAGGTAGCCTAGTGGTTAAAGTGTTCACTCATCACGCTGAAGACCTGTGTTTGATTCCCATCATGGATACAATGTGTGAAGCCCATTTCTGGTGTTCCTCGCTGTGATATTGCTGGAATATTGCTAAAAGCAGCGTAAAACCATACTCACTCACTCGTTCAAACCCCGATGCAACTTTAATGTTGTTCAAAGCAATTTACATTGTGTAACTCTCATGACGGCTGTAGGATGAATATCTAGTGGTTATGTGGCTGACTGTGTCATCGTGTCCTGAAGATGTGGATCTTTGCTCTTGCTGTCAACCACTGGTTTGCCTGGTCCAGATTTAATTATTTTCAGGCCATTGTGATCATGCTGGAATATTGCTGACTGCAGCAAAACAAGATTCATTCACTGCACAGAAACAATAAATCACTCTGGGGTTGGAGGAGATCTGATTACTTGTTTCTGAGGAACCATTGTATTGACCTATCCTGATATTCTGCTGAAATATTTAAATATATATAACCTTGGAAACAGGTATGCAAAATCTGGATCTACGGAAAAGGAAGACCAGATTTTAATTCAAGCAGGAGTGTGTCTGTTTTGCTTGATAAAATATCTGTGATTATCGTAACCGTGGTTACCGAGCTGGACTAGCCTGCACGAAACAGACATTGAACAAGGTGGAGTTTTATTTAGAAACTTTTATACTTCATAAGAAAAATGTCCGTCCATTATGTTATGCAATGCAGTATATTTTGTCAAAATATATGTCTCACATTACACAGCAATGAAGTCATCATGTCATGAAATCCAATATGGCCGTTTTGTCAACCATTTTGTATTCAGGTCTTCCTTTGTGTTGAGATCATTTTACCATAAATTTTCCATTTTAGGATGAATATAAGTTAAAAAGGTTGTCAAAATGTCATAAGATAAAGATCTGGTAATATTGTAACTATTGTACCCTTTTGTGGGTCATTTATAGAATTGAGGACTGTAGCTTTTAATGCTTGTTTTACATCGTGTTATTCCTGTAGATGGGTGTTGATGTACTGTAATCTCATTTCTTGAGCGATGTACCACTTTTATGCAGACATATCTTCTTGTATACAATATACAGGCTAGTTTTATCATATTCATTTAACTATCCTCAATTATCCAGAGTATTTGATCTCCATTCTATTAAGATAAATACCATGGACCCATTTTCTTCTTTACATTTGTTTTCTTCTCGATTCTTATGACATAATTTTGAAAATAGCTGTCCAATCAAATTGCACTCATCAGCGAAAGAAATTTTGTACAAAGTTGCCGTTAAGAGAGAAATAGATGGAGCCATCACTTCCATAATGAAGCTATGGTGGCAAATAAGTCCAGGGAATTTATCATAATAGAATAGATATAATACACTGTATTAATGAGGATGTCCAATTACTATACAAATGTATTTTGCCCGACTTGTCAGTTCGCTGATATTATGCCATAGTATATGATGTGTTATGCTTCTATCTAGGAATTGGCTGATGAAGGGTAGCTTCAGTTAAGCATCACACTGTAATTATATAATGGTCATTTGTTTTTCATTCATTGTTATTCTGAACTGTGAAAACAGGAGTTAGCCATGTTGTATTGGTGTAGTATGTGTATCCCACTGTTAACAGTTCGGTTGTTGACACGCAAAGTCAGTGGACATACACTTGGCACACACTGGACATTAATACCTGTGCAGCAATGAACAAAAGCCAGCATGTTTGCATTGAGATTAAAGGCAGACTGTGATTTTTTTATATTTTAATTAGCATTATGCCATGTTTTGCAAATAGGGAAACTTCACCTAAGGTTGGCTCACAGGGTGATTAGATCCTACCACCAAACTCAGTCCCAATTCCATCATCAGTCCATCATCATGGTAATCCTGCCTCAACCCAGTCCTTATTCCTTTCCCATCCCAGAATATAATCCTGCCCCCACCTGAGTCCTTATTCCTGGCCTCACCATAGTCCATATTCCTGCCCCAACCCAGTCCTTATTCCTTTCCCATCCCAGAATATAATCCTGCCCCCACCTGAGTCCTTATTCCTGGCCTCACCATAGTCCATATTCCTGCCCCAACCCAGTCCTTATTCCTTTCCCATCCCAGAATATAATCCTGCCCACACCTGAGTCCTTATTCCTGGCCTCACCATAGTCCATATTCCTGCCCCAATCCAGTCCTTATTCCTTTCCCATCCCAGAATATAATCCTGCCCCCACCTGAGTCCTTATTCCTTATTCCTGGCCTCACCATAGTCCATATTCCTGCCCCAACCCAGTCCTTATTCCTTTCCCATCCCAGAATATAATCCTGCCCCCACCTGAGTCCTTATTCCAGGCCTCACCATAGTCCATATTCCTGCCCCAACCCAGTCCTTATTCCTTTCCCATCCCAGAATATAATCCTGCCCCCAGCTGAGTCCTTATTCCAGGCCTCACCATAGTCCATATTCCTGCCCCAACCCAGTCCTTATTCCTTTCCCAACCCAGAATATAATCCTGCCCCCAGCTGAGTCCTTATTCCTGGCCTCACCATAGTCCATATTCCTGCCCCAACCCAGTCCTTATTCCTTTCCCATCCCAGAATATAATCCTGCCCCCACCTGAGTCCTTATTCCTTATTCCTGGCCTCACCATAGTCCATATTCCTGCCCCAACCCAGTCCTTATTCCTTTCCCATCCCAGAATATAATCCTGCCCCCACCTGAGTCCTTATTCCTGGCCTCACCATAGTCCATATTCCTGCCCCAACCCAGTCCTTATTCCTTTCCCATCCCAGAATATAATCCTGCCCCGACCTGAGTCCTTATTCCAGGCCTCACCATAGTCCATATTCCTGCCCCAACCCAGTCCTTATTCCTTTCCCATCCCAGAATATAATCCTGCCCCCACCTGAGTCCTTATTCCTGGCCTCACCATAGTCCATATTCCTGCCCCAACCCAGTCCTTATTCCTTTCCCATCCCAGAATATAATCCTGCCCCCACCTGAGTCCTTATTCCTGGCCTCACCATAGTCCATATTCCTGCCCCAACCCAGTCCTTATTCCTTTCCCATCCCAGAATATAATCCTGCCCCCACCTGAGTCCTTATTCCTGGCCTCACCATAGTCCATATTCCTGCCCCAACCCAGTCCTTATTCCTTTCTCATCCCAGAATATAATCCTGCCCCCACCTGAGTCCTTATTCCAGGCCTCACCATAGTCCATATTCCTGCCCCAACCCAGTCCTTATTCCTTTCCCATCCCAGAATATAATCCTGCCCCCAGCTGAGTCCTTATTCCTGGCCTCACCATAGTCCATATTCCTGCCCCAACCCAGTCCTTATTCCTTTCCCATCCCAGAATATAATCCTGCCCCCACCTGAGTCCTTATTCCTTATTCCTGGCCTCACCATAGTCCATATTCCTGCCCCAACCCAGTCCTTATTCCTTTCCCATCCCAGAATATAATCCTGCCCCCAGCTGAGTCCTTATTCCTGGCCTCACCATAGTCCATATTCCTGCCCCAACCCAGTCCTTATTCCTTTCCCATCCCAGAATATAATCCTGCCCCCACCTGAGTCCTTATTCCAGGCCTCACCATAGTCCATATTCCTGCCCCAACCCAGTCCTTATTCCTTTCCCATCCCAGAATATAATCCTGCCCCCAGCTGAGTCCTTATTCCTGGCCTCACCATAGTCCATATTCCTGCCCCAACCCAGTCCTTATTCCTTTCCCATCCCAGAATATAATCCTGCCCCCACCTGAGTCCTTATTCCTGGCCTCACCATAGTCCATATTCCTGCCCCAACCCAGTCCTTATTCCTTTCCCATCCCAGAATATAATCCTGCCCCCACCTGAGTCCTTATTCCTGGCCTCACCATAGTCCATATTCCTGCCCCAACCCCATCCTTGTTCCTGACCTCACACAAGTCCTTATTCCTGGCCTCACCATAGTCCCTATTCCTGCCCTTGCCACAATCCTCATTCCTGCCCCCATCCGAGCCCTTACTCCTGTCCCAACCCCAGTCCTAATTCCTGAAACCCCAGTCCTTATTCCTGACCCAACCCGAGTCCATATTCCTGGCCTCACCATAGTCCTTATTCCAGCCCTTTCTTCATATTCAAATGGTTGTCAACTTGCTACCTCTATCACATCACTACTAGGCCCTGTCACAGAACATGCAGGATGTTATTATTAAACACTGCACTTTGTGTACTGTTTTACTTCCATCCGTCCACCTTACTATCAAGGTACAATCATCACACGTTTATGTGTGATTACAGTGTCAATCTGTACTATTTTATTGATCCAGTATCAGGAAGTCATCTCAAATTTTGAACTGCTTTTTCCATTACACAACATGGCAGGAAGCAATCCGGCTAATCAAAATTAAATACTTTTCAAATGTAATTAAGATGATATTTAGTAAATTAATCTTGGAGGAGCAAATCATTGTTCAGTAAAGTATTCATTTGTATTAACTTACCTATTCAAAGTATTTCCTATCATACATTAGGATAGTCTGCAAATGCCCCCATATATTTTGAAGACAAACTTCAAACTTCACGAAATCTGGTGAACATTATATAAAATATGTACTTTGAACATTCTGTGGTATTTTTTAGCATTCTGATGATTACCATGGTCAAAGTGACTAAATTGTCTTAAATAGGCATCCATCCTCGGCAAACTTTTATGTGCTCTGAGTGCTAAACACACTTATGTGTTTTAATTATTCAAATGTATTACGTATGTCAAGCTACATTGTGATATGAAAGATATGCAGCTATGGCAGATAACATTAAACTTACCTATTTATATCATTTGCATATAAAATGCACATATCCAGTATTAATCATTGAAATGTTTTGGCTGATTTCAAATATTATTTATGATAATTGTTTTTTTAATTCATATTATATTTCATATATCAACTGGGTTTGAAAATATAAATTTACTTTTTGAATTTTAGATTTAGATACCTTTTGTATCTAAAAAACTTTTATAAATGTGATAAACAGTTAGGCATACCAATAACTGGTTTTAGAACAGAACATTAATGTTGTGTACTTATTAATGTTTTATTGAGTTTCTTATTTTTAATATGTATGACACACATATATTCATAATATGTACCAAAATATCCGTCCTTGAAGCTGACAACATGTATTTTATTATATTTCATGTAAATGCTTCGTATAGTGTGATTTCAAAGTCATTTACATTTTACATTTACAAGTCAGTGTCTGGTATTTCCTGGAATGATGCATTACTTATGGTAATACTAAGTGTAAACATATGTTGTCTCACTAGGCCAGATTATTTGTTTTCCTGGTTGTCCATCTTTGTAATAGACAGTGGACGAGTGACAGTACTTTGTCGGGATATAAAGGTACAGTCTGGAGAACAAAGGGTGTGTCATCTTTGTAATAGACAGTGGACGAGTTAAAGGGATAATGACAGTACTTTGTTTGGATATAAAGGTACAGTCTGGAGGACAAAGGGTTTGTCATCTTTGTAATAGACAGTGGACGAGTTAAAGGGTGAATGACAGTACTTTGTTTGGATATAAAGGTACAGTCTGGAGGACAAAGGGTTTGTCATCTTTGTAATAGACAGTGGACGAGTGAAAGGGTGAATGACAGTACTTTGTTTGGATATAAAGGTACAGTCTGGAGGACAAAGGGTTTGTCATCTTTGTAATAGACAGTGGACGAGTTAAAGGGTGAGTGACAGTATTTTGTTGGGATATAAAGGTACAGTCTGGAGAACAAAGGGTGTGGTGATACAGAGTCCTATTGTTCTTCCAACTGTTCCTTTTAACCCTGATAATGTACTGGCAAGATTCCACTGTCTTAGAGCACAGTGAAATACTCCATGGTATAATCCCTTATATTAAGAGTCCCTATGGCACAGGTGCACTCCTAATGGTACAGTCAGATTGTGCCATGAGGGCATGCACAGAAATGTTGTGATGATGTATATAATGTGGATCATGTTGTAAATGTTTTTTTGCAAAACTTAATACGGACAAATTTGTAAAATGAACATGCGTAAGACACAGTGTGGTTAATATAGTAATCCTGGGGATTATGAAATAGATAAGGATGCTATCAGTCTCGAACCCTTTGACAAAAAGACCTGTAAAAGTAACAACCCCTAATCATTATCATGATAGAAGATGGAAACCAAGGACATTGTCTGGCCTTAACCTGTAATAGTTGACCACTGATTTCTATATATACTTGATATATAACTGTATACCTAACTGTGTCCATCAAGTCTACATGTACCACAGTTTACGTGTAAGTGATTCTGTCAACATGTACAATGACCTACATATGTGTGATTCTGCCAACATGTATCACAATTTGTAGACATATGTATGATTCTGTCAACATGTACAATGACTTACATATGTGTGATTCTATCAACATGTACAATGACCTACATATGTGTGATTCTATCAACATGTACAATGACCTACATATGTGTGATTCTGTCAACATGAACAGTGACTTACATATGTGTCATTTTGTCAACATGTACAATGACTTACATATGTGTGATTCTGTCAACATGTACAATGACTTACACATGTGTAATTCTGTCAACATGTACCACGGCTTACATGTGTGATTATGTCAGTGTAGAAATTAGATATTCTGACAGTGCTCTAAATTTGATGTACAATAAACAAATAGATTTATTAAAATAAAGATTACATCATACAACCTGAACAGATGGTGTTGTTTTGAAAATAAGACAACAGGTTGACACTAGTTTCTACTTGCAGAGAATGGCTGCAGTGTTGACACATATTATTTCTGATGCACTATTATCTTTCAGAACTATTTGTTCATTACTGTATAGGATTTGACTAAGAATGTAAGGTTAAATCCTTAGGGTACCAGATGGTTGTCTGAACTTGTCTGATTATCATCAATGGTTGTGGGACTTGATGAACTACTTGCTTAGAGTTTGTTGATGTTGGCGGCTGCAGTGTCTTCTATGAAGATCTTAAGTGTGAGTGAGTGAGATTGGTTTTACACAGCTTTATGCAATATTCCAGCAATATCACAGTGGGTGACACCAGATATGGGCTTCACGAATTTGTACCCATGTGGGAAATTGAACCTGGGTCTTCAGCCTGATGAAGGAACGCTTTAACCACAAGGCTATCCCACCGCCCCATTAAGATCTTTAAGTGGCATTGAGAAGCTGTCATATTAATGAAGATGCAGAAGGTTGACTTGTGGTTTGCAACTTCCTTATATCAATGCAACGTTTCAGTACAAGTGCTGGCACATTTACCAGTTTCATACTACAGATTCTAAATACCACTTAACAATAGTTAAAGAGCAAGTGAGCGAGGTCTTAAGCCGCTGAATCATTATTCCATCAATCTCATGGCAGGGGAAACCAGAATTGGCGGCAGGCATTGTAACCATGTCAGATTTATATTTAAACCTATGCCTCAGCACAAGGAGCCAACGCAATGTTCATGAAGTTCGTCTCTTTCTTTCACACAAAGCTGAAGTGAAGCAACTGTTCAGTGCAGGGTTCACTCACTCACTTACTCACTCACTCACTCACTCACTCACTCACTCACTCACTCACTCACACACTGGTTGACTAAAAATGAGAAGTGAAAGTATTATATTTGAAGATGTATTGAAATATATATATATATTCCTACTGACTCAAAAGCACAACAGCCGCACCATCTGACCCTCCATTACTGGTAGTACATCGGTCCCAGAAATTAAAAAAAACCTAGTTGTTTCACAATAGCTGTGATATACACAGTGACTTGTATTTGTAACATTCGTAATATACTCACAGCCCAAAGAAATGCGAACCATAGATTCATATGGAGAAGTATGCACGTTAAGAACAGATGTTTCCAATATGTACCAATTAATGACAAAACTAACAACCAGTCAATTGTTACCTCAGAGTGTCACGATATGCTGCACGTGATTTCCAAACTTTGCACACTAATCCTGCACGAGACAAATGGTGCATCTCTAGTCATGGATCTATGTCATCACATGGATGTGTTCATGAGCGTCGGTTCACACAACATATCAGTATAATCATTTGAACATCGAACCAATGTAATATCTCTCTTCATATGTTAACCAACATATATGGTATTCGCGTTTCTTTTGGCGGTTAGTATACATTAATCACATTTTATAAGTTATACCAAATCATCATCATAAGCACCAGTTGTTAAAACACTTTATACTAAAGACAGACATGTACTAAGCACACATTATACACTAAACACTTTTTTGTACCTTACCCATTTAATATTAAACAAACTGTCATAAATAATGTACACTGAACACATACTAATTTATACTAAATATATTTTGCATGTACACATTTTATACTTTAAAACTTCTGTATACGAAATATATTTTAAAGACGACACTTTTTGTAATCCGAGCACAGCTGAAGTCCCAGATCCAATGGGTGTTGTCATTCAGACACGTGTAGTACGATCACAACCTGATAATGTATCCCACAAATACACTTTATGCAACATCTAGGCACGAGCTGCATGTACACAGACGCCTGAGTCCAAAGTTTCATTGGAAAGTGAAGGTCCCGTTTGTGCGAACTATTCACCATATGCGCTTATATTCTCTTTGTGGAACTCGAGCATATGTCTGTTGCTCTAAACCAGATAAGGTTGGAATAGTTGGGAGGTCAATAATTCTCGCAACTATACCTTAATATCACGATAAAATACTGTCAATCTACTGCGCAACATAATGTACCCATAACACTTTAGTACTAAAGACACTTACGATTAATATTACAGCCATTTTTACTAAGCTTTCTTTACCGAATGCATTGTATTTTATAATAAACACATTTTACTATCAGCACCTTTGGTACAGGGGAAGAATATTCTGGACACTATTCTGTACTATTAATTAAGCACATCTTGAATTTAACATATTTTGTACCAAATACATTTTATAATATATACATTGATGCTAAACAGTTTTATACGCAACACATTTTGTTCACAAAATTTATTGGATACCAGTCACATTTTATACCTAGAACCTTTGGTATATTTTATACTTAACACATTTTGTACTCGTGATTTATTATGTTAAACACATTAGGTATAGACGCATCTGATACTAAACACATTTTACACACATATACATTCACATAAACATAGTTAAACTGTTGTTTTGAAGCAGTTATTGAAATATCTTGTCTCAAACAGATAATCCTACTCCTTCTGAAGGCACAGGTTTAATGACACACGCCGTGGTGTCTCACCCACTGACAGACTGTGCCTGAAATGCGATACACTTCTGGTGTGTTGACTAGTCTCTGTAACTTCAAAGGTGCACCCTCGCCTGTATGTGTCATCACATCTTGCCCGTTTGGAAGAATATTGCGGATCTCCAGAACAGGTCGACTGGCGTTTCCGCTTAAAACGCAGGCTGAAACAATGAAATCTTTGTTTCAGTTGTTGATATTTAACTTCAAAGATATCTAATTTCAGATATCTAAGTATTTAACAACATTGTTTATTTAGTGATGATTTAATCTCTTGATTACACTTAATCAATTTCAAGTATTACTGAAAGAGTTGAAAGTTGAATGGGAACGAATGTTACGTTATATGATAAATAACTATCGTGTCAGAAACAAAGTCCACGTGGACACGTACACTTACCCCTACGTGTAAAACACATTCAGACCGATCTCACCTCTTCATTATTATGGCTCTGTGTTGATGGCTGCACAGGTCAAGTGGAGTTCGCCCATCTTTATCACGGATGTAAGGATCCCCTCCTGCCTTCGTCAGCATCTCAGCAATGTCCAGTGACCCACTTTCACAGGCGTAGTGGAGTGATGTTCGGATAAAGTCATCACACACATTGACATAGGCCCCATGTTTCAACAAATGTGCCACAACCAATAAAAATCTACCAATACAGGCATAATGTAGTGCTGTTTTTCTAGATGTGTCGGAATTATTTGGCATTGCGCCCATAAGAAGTAACTGTTCAACAAAGTACGAGTTTCCGTTAGCAGAGGCGAGATGTAGCGATGTTTGCCTTGTGCAGTTACTAGCATTTACTGTATTACCTGCAATCTTCGGTCCAACACTTCCAAGCCAGTCAATTATGATCTGGAACATATCTGTTTGATCCGATCTACACGCTGCATGAAGAAGTGTGTCACCACTGCCATTGATGTGAAGACAGAGGGTGTGGGGTAACAGGTGCTTGACATTCTTTTTCTGTCCAGTCAGATATGCAACCCATATAGGCGTGTTACCGTCGTTGTCTTTAATGGTTGTATTTGCCCCATGCTCTACCAGGAGTAAGGCTGCTTGGCCACTGCAGCGACTTGCCAGATGCAGTGGCGTTGATCCGTTCACAACGTCCTGGTGGTTCATGCAATCGTTAAACTCTTCACCGAATGATCTCCTCAACCACATCACCTCAAGCAAGAGATCGACAATGACACTATGGCCACGTTCACATGCAACATGGAGGGGTGTTTTACCAAATGTATTTCTCATGCAAAGATCCTTGTACCCCGAAAGTAGTTCCCCAACAATCACAATTTTGCCCGTGCAGCAGGCTACATGCAATGGTGTATTTCCCAAGTCGTTTTGAGAAGGGCCAGCTCCAGATTTCAAACAATGTCGAAGTATAGTTATAATGTGTGTGAAGTCATTATTTTGTTTGTTTGCACATCCATACAGAAGGAAATGAAGAGGTGAATCACCTTGAAAGTTTCTAGAATCCACACACGCACCTGCTGCCAGTAGCGCTACTACTGTGTCAAGATCTGCATTTAGTGAAGACAGGTAAAGCGCAGTTTCATTGTAATTGTTTATAGCATTGACATGACATTGAGTCAACAGACTACGAACTACAGCTGAGTGTCCTTGTTCTGAGGCAATATGAAGTGGGGTATCTCCATTCCTGTTTTTCAGTTTTACACAATCTTTCTTATCATGTTTTAGAAGATAGTCAGTAGCGCGATTACTGCCTACCATTGAGGCAACATGAAATGGTGTGTTGCCATGATCAACTGTCAGATCCATGACATTGCTGCACCTGACTAACAAGTTTAGCCTGTTTATGTTGTCCATTGACTCTCGGAGGTACATCCAGATGACATCCTGCATTCTGCCATATTGGGTTAACTTTGCATGGGTGAAGAAGATACGAGCAATTTTGTTATTGCCTCTCCTCATTACAATGTCGAGGGGAGTGAAACCATTGTGATTTTTTATCCATGCCAAACTAGGACTGGTATCGAGAAGAAAAGCACACACTCTGTGTTTGTCATAGGAACACGCCAGGTGCAGGACATTATCACCTTCCTCTGTTACATGAGTGACATCCATGCCTACTTTGAGACACATCTTAAGAATATGCATATATCCCTTTCGAGATGCTATATGACAAAACATTTCTCCATATTTTGTCTTCATACAAACTTCAGGGTTCCCATCGTTTCTTTTTAGTTTCAATATGATTTTACATACTTTCACGTCCCCATGTTCACAAGCTTTATGGAAGATTGTGTAACCATGTGAATCAATAGCATTTGAATTGGTACTTGACGACAACAAACAAGCAACAATATCCATGAATCCAGCATCATAAGCAAGATGTAATGGAGATATGCTTTCATATAAATGGCTGTCATCCATGTCTGACAGCCACCCAGCGCTATATGCTATAATTACACTAGCTACATCATCATGGTCACAGTCGCAAGCTGCTTTGACTGGAGGGACAGGAACAAACTCAGTGTCTGGTTCATCAATCACTTCTATCACGTCATTTCCTATTTCCCTTACACTCAATGAATCTTTCGAATTTTTCTCAGAGTGATGTGAAGCCGGAATGTTTTTCATTGAGAATCCTTTTTTTATATGTTTTTTAAGCATCGATGGAAACACTGACTCAGAAGAGAGAAATGCTTTTGTTACCTTTGAATTGCCTTTCTCACATACTTTCAGGAGGATACTTTTACCATACTGATCATCTTCTAGCACATCTGCACCTTGATTTATAAGATACTCTGCAAGGTCAAAGTGGTTACCATCCATTGCTGCATGCAATGACGTCATACCCTCAATTCCACTTCTCCCCGTTTTTAGAATGCAATCTATGTTTTCCCTTTCCTCTTGAACTATGTCACTCAAAGAAACTGAAAGTGGTGATATACACTGAATGTCCTTTGAAGAAATATCAGCTCCATTTTCTATTAAGTACCTCACCACATCTTTATGCCCTCGCATACAGCATGCAATTAAATAGTTACTGCCATTTGCTCCAGCTATTTGTGACTTAGCCCCCTTTAACATCATTAGTTTTATAACATCAAGGTGGCCTTCTACTACAGCGGAGAGAAGTGGTGTGTTGTTAAATTTGTTTTTCATATTTGGATCTGCACCATGATCCAATAGATAGTTAACAATTCGGTCATACCCTCTTGCACATGCTATATGAAGTGGTGTCCGTCCTTTATGTCCAACTGCATTTACATCTGCGCTTGATAAAAGTAATGCTTCCACAGTTTTAATATTTCCTGATTCACATGCAGGATGGAGTGGAGTATCACTTTGACAGTCAGTTTCATTTGTTACAGCCCCTTTGTTTACCAAGTGTTGCACAGTTTCTGTATGACCTGATTTAGCAGCATAGTGTAGACAACCTTTTAAAGATATATTCGAATTGCATTCAATCAAATCTTTAACTATGTTCAAATGACCTTCGGATGCAGCACAATGAAGCGGTGTTTGTTTATCCACGTTCTCAACGTCACTGGTGTAATGATATTGAATGAGAAGCCTGACACTTCTCTGACATCCCCTTTCAGCAGCAATGTGCATTGCTGTTTCCTTTTTGCAATTTGCCAGAGAGCCATCAACACCACGTTCCAGCAAAGTCGCAACATTGTCAGGAAAACCATATCTAACAGCATAATGAAGAAGTGAGTTACCATCAGGATCGGCAGATGTCAATGTCGGTAGCGGAATATGATCAGATACGAACTTGAACTGTTCAGAATTATTTAACTTTGAAACTGGCACATTTGATAATTTAGTAGTATACCTAAGGAGTAAAGCTATGGCCTTAAAATTATTATTTCCAATGGCTGCATGAAAGGGCGCTTTACCTTCATTGTTTGCATGGCTTGGATTTGCACCTTTCTCTAATAGCAATTGCATAGCTAAAACTCTTCCATTTTCAGTACAAATATAAAGACCTGTGTTCCCGTTTTTATCCACATGATCCACATAAGCCTCAGAATCTAACAGTAATTGTAGCATGTCAATGTTTCCTCTTCTACATACCAAATGAAGGGACGAATAAACAGCTTGATCCGTCCTGTACATATCATATTGTAACAATAATCTCACTATGTCAATATGTCCTTGGCAACATGCTTCATAGAGAGCTGTCCTAACCTTCCTATATTTAGTTTCAATGGAAGTGGAGAGGTTATGAAAAAGCCTTCGAGTATTTTGAACATTGCATCTTCCAGAATATGTGTTTGAATTTATGTTATTATTACATTTATGTAATAAATATTCGATAATAGCTGTGTGTCCATATCTAGATGCAATTATTACACATGCGTCAGCATGATCACTGAATGGAAAATTATCAAAATAACTTCTCACCAAGTTAATATTACCGCAGGCAACAACAATGTGAAGGAGATCACCTCCTTCAACCTCAGTATTTAGTAACTTAAGTATTTCAATGCATTTTATATTCTTCAAGCTTTCTGTTGTTATCAGGGTATTTTGAAGGCATATCTCATCACATATTTTAGTTAGCAATAGGAGGGTTTGTGGTGAGTTTTGGTGACATGCTTCACGAAGGAAGAATTCTAAAGTTGCATCTGGAGGAAGTATCGTCCACAACATCCTAAATATTGCAAAATATTTCTTTGTAAGCACCCATTTCAGCAATGATTGTATGTCGATTATGCTCGCCAGGTTTTGCAATCGTTTAATCAACAGTCGAAAATTACGATAAGCACTTGGCTCACGAGCTCCTTTCTCCAGCAGCAGCTTAACAATCTCTATATCTCCCCTCCTACAAGCTATAGCCAGTTCTGAATACCCATCCATGTCGCTACCTGACACACAAACTCCTTTCTCCAGCAGCAGCTTAACAATCTCTATATCTCCCTTCTCACAAGCTGTAGCCAGTGCTGAATACTCATCCATGTTGGTACCAGACACACTAGCTTCTTTCTCCAGCAGCAGCTTAACAATCTCTATATCTCCCTTCTTACAAGCTAAAGCCAGTGGTGAATATCCCTGTCTGTCGGTATCTGACACACTAGCTCCTTTCTCCAGCAGCAGCTTAACAATCGCCACATTACCCCGCTCACAAGCTAAAGCCAGTGGCGAATGCCCATACCTGTCCCTGTCGTTTTCTGTCACACTAGCTCCTTTCTCAAGCAGCAGCTTAACAATCTCCTTACTACCCTGCTCACAAGCTATAACCAGTACTGAAAACCCAGTTGTTTCGCGAGCTGACACACTAGCTCCTTTCTCCAGCAACAGCTTAACAATCTCTAGATCTCCCTTCTTACAAGCTAAAGCCAGTGGTGAATGTACCTGTCTGTCGGTACCTGACACACTAGCTCCTTTCTCCAGCAACAGCTTAACAATCTCTAGATCTCCCTTCTTACAAGCTAAAGCCAGTGGTGAATGTACCTGTCTGTCGGTACCTGACACACTAGCTCCTTTCTCCATCAGCAGCTTAACAATCGCCATATTACCTCGCTCACAAGCTTTAGCCAGTGGTGGATGCCCATACCTGTCCCTGTCGTTATCTGTCACACTAGCTCCTTTCTCAAGCAGCATCTTAACAATCTCCTTACTACCCTGCTCACAAGCTATAACCAGTACTGAAAACCCAGTTGTTTCGCGAGCTGACACACTAGCTCCTTTCTCCAGCAACAGCTTAACAATCTCTAGATCTCCCTTCTTACAAGCTATAGCCAGTGGTGAATGTCCCTGTCTGTCGCTATCTGACACACTAGCTCCTTTCTCCAGCAGCAGCTTAACAATCTCTATATCTCCCCTCCTACAAGCGCCAGCCAGTGGTGAATACCTCAACAGGTCGGTACCTGACACACTAGCTCCTTTCTCCAGCAGCAGCTTAACAATCTCTATATCTCCCCTCTCACAAGCTAAAGCCAGTGCTGAATACCCATACATGTCGCTATCTGACACACTAGCTCCTTTCTCCAGCAACAGCTTAACAATCTCTAGATCTCCCTTCTTACAAGCTATAGCCAGTGGTGAATGTCCCTGTCTGTCGCTATCTGACACACTAGCTCCTTTCTCCAGCAGCAGCTTAACAATCTCTATATCTCCCCTCCTACAAGCGCAAGCCAGTGGTGAATACCCCTCCATGTCGCTATCTGACACACTAGCTCCTTTCTCCAGGAGCAGCTTGACAATCTCTACCTCTCCCCTCTTACAAGCTAAAGCCAGTGCTGAATACCCATACATGTCGCTATCTGACACACTAGCTCCTTTCTCCAGCAACAGCTTAACAATCTCTAGATCTCCCTTCTTACAAGCTATAGCCAGTGGTGAATGTCCCTGTCTGTCGCTATCTGACACACTAGCTCCTTTCTCCAGCAGCAGCTTAACAATCTCTATATCTCCCCTCCTACAAGCGCAAGCCAGTGGTGAATACCCCTCCATGTCGCTATCTGACACACTAGCTCCTTTCTCCAGGAGCAGCTTGACAATCTCTACCTCTCCCCTCTTACAAGCTGTAGCCAGTGGTGAATACCCATCCATTTCGCTATCTGACACACTAGCTCCTTTCTCCAGCAGCAGCTTGACAATCTCTATATCTCCCCTCTCACAAGCTGTAGCCAGTGCTGAATACCCATCCATGTCGGTACCTGACATAATAGCTCTTTTCTCCAGCAGCAGCTTAACAATCTCTGTATCTCCCTTCTCACAAGCTATAGCCAGTGCTGAATACTCATCCATGTCGGTACCTGACACACTAGCTCCTTTCTCCAGCAGCAGCTTAACAATCTCTATATCTCCCCTCCCACAAGCTATAGCCAGTGCTGAATACTCATCCATGTCGGTACCTGACACACTAGCTCCTTTCTCCAGCAGCAGCTTAACAATCTCTATATCTCCCCTCCCACAAGCTTTAGCCAGTGCTGAATACTCATCAATGTCGCTATCTGACACACTAGCTCCTTTCTCCAGCAGCAACTTAACAATTTCTATATCTCCCTTCTCACAAGCTGTATCCAATGCTGAATACTCACTCATGTCGGTACCTGACACACTAGCTCCTTTCTCCAGCAATAATTTCGCCATGACGTTATGTCCCTTTCTTAAACACATCACTGCAATATGTGTGTCGCATAAAACAGCTCTAGCAGCGTTCATATGAAGTAGCATCTGTACCACACCAATATTGTTTGAATATGCAGCAATCAAAAGGGGGTGTTGGTCGTCTACAGTAACAGATCTATCGGCATCATACTCTAACAGTAACTCGATGATATCAGTAAACCCCCCTATGCATGCTTTATGTAAGGGTGTATTAGACCCATCATAGGGAAGTGGATAACTTCTGTGATTTAATATCACCTTAGCGACTTCAAGAAATCCCTTCTTACAAACTATATCCAAAGGCATTTCATTTGTGTAATTCAGCATAGTACAGTCAGCCCCCCTCTCTAGCAGCATGGATACAATATCTACGTCTCCCCGCTCACAAGCAATATGCAGGGGTGTGTCTCCTTCTGCATCCCCTTCAGAGATGCAACATTGTCGTGAAATCAGTGCCACGAGGTCATGGTTACCGGATCTACATGCAGAGTGTATTGGTGCGTTAAACAAGATGTCATGGAGATTAAGGTCTGCACTGTGCTGTATAAGACATTTCACAATATCTATGTTTCCCATAGTTGCAGCAACTAAAGCAGCAGTACTCCCTGTTTGGAAAGGTATGCTATTTCCGGACCCGTGGACTAATTGTTCATTGACATCAAATCCACTCTCCAGGAGATAAGACACTACGCCAGTATGTCCGTAAAGACTGGAGAGGTGAAGGGGAGGTAAGGCATGGGTGTCATATGATTCAATAATTGTCAGGGTTTTTTCCTTCTTGTGTGTAATACCTGGTAGTAACTGTGGAAGTTTAGGTATCTTCTGACATTCTATTAATTCAGTTTCGGAGCAGAGTAATTGCACAATGCTGGAATTACCTGAAATACAACAGGGAACGAGACAGCCAGCCTTTTGACTATCTGTCAACCAGAACGACAATGATTTGAACAGTTCAGCATTCCTCCCAAAGCACATCCAATGTATGAATGTTCCACCAAAGGTCTTATCTGTATTTTCCAAAATGCTGTGGAAATCATCGGATTTTAGCAGATGTTGGACTGCTTTCCTGAGCATTACATTGAAATGGAAGTATCCACAAGAATCGTGAGACAACACTAATGCAAGGTTATTCAGCAACACTTCCTTGGCAAATCGTCTTGCCAAATCCTTTACCATTTTCCCCTTTAGCCACACATGGAAACCACCATCTTGTGTGTGGATCCTGAGATAATGGTAGATGAATTTCAGATCAATAATATCAATGTATTCTTGAAGATGATCTGCAATCACTGTCGATATTGTCTTTTGTATTTCGGAATTTCTAAGTGTGACACATGTGTTCATATTTGATATCAGTACAAGTTTCTCTAATCGAAGGAATGCATTCCTTATTTGGGCATTTGTAGGTTCCCCACAATGACAGAGCTGACAGCCCCATTTGATATAGTCTTTTAGAGGGGAACTATGTTCGTGGCATTCAAGAGTCGTTAACTGCAGATGTCCTTTCATCAAACATACAAGTGTCAAGGCTACGAAGGAAGACTTTTGATTTTGGAATAGCTCCTCACAATATGAACGTAAGTCTGCAGGACACGCTCCTGAAAACAATACAAGTTTTATGACTGGAATTGGCAAAAAATTTGATCATGAGTATTTATGGTTCATATATTTTCTGATATACTCAAACAAATGTATGAAGGATGAAGATACAAACGAAATACAATACATTCAAAACTGAATGATAAATATCTTTAATGCAAACTTGATATATTAGAAAAAGTAATATATTCTCCCAAAAGAAATGCACAGGTGAAATTAATAATATATGAAAGACATTAGCACATAAATTGAAGCATGACTATGTGCACGTGCCCGTTCTGCACAGCCAAACATCATGAAGAGACCTGCAAAAGTTGTGTTTGTGTATGTGTGTTAGCATGTGTGCGTGCGTGTGTGTCTCTCAGAGTGTGTTAAGCGAGGTGTTACTATGGATGAGTTCTGGGTTCACCACTCTCAGCCAGAGACTAAACAACAGTCAAAGCACGGGCAACATATAACATATCCTCCGGAGAAGGCTGCAATGCATGACATTGGTTTTGAACCCATTGATCATCCTCTGTATTCACCAGATTTGGCACCTCTACCAAAACTTGAGGAAAAAACTGTCTGAAACGCACGAACTGGGGACGTCATTTCTGCTGTAGAGGACGTATAACACAACCAGGAGGAAGCCTTCTACACCATCGGGATCATGGCAATCCAGCAGTGTGGGCAGAAGAGTGTTGACCTCGAAGGGGATTATGTTGAAAAATAATTGACATGCAACTCCATCATAATGAGGCTCAGAACTTCGTAGCACGTGCAATATCATTCCTACAGAACCACAGTGTGTGGTTCATACCGTCACCCTCCTACTCACCAGATTTGAACCTGATAGTACACCCACTTCACTTCGTCCATGGGCATGAGGTGCCAGACAGTACTTGACGTTAGTTCCATTGTAGTAAGTTTCCGAGTTATATTATCACAATGGACACGTTTACTCATCAAGTGTTCACATGGGCAGAAAATTATGTTTCTTTTTACACCAATTTTTTCAGCAATTGACTTGATGTGCTTTTTATTATATAATATTATTATTTAACATCGAGGTGAAACATAATATTTCTCAAAAGATTATGGTTTGACATTTTAGTCCTGCTGAGAATGTAGGACAATTCATCCGCAGGCCTACCTTTTCAGTTTCACTTGACACAACTTCATAAAGACCCTCGAATTGAGTGCATGCCAAGTAAGGCTGGACTCAAAACGACTTTTATAACTAGAGCCAGAATAGTGTTGATACTACTCACGGGTGAATTTCAATTGTAAGGCTCAGAGATATATAAGATCGAAATCCCATTGCATTGTCACAAGGTAAAAGGAGTTGTCGTCCTTACCTGGTGTTGTATCATGCAGGTCAGATGGCGTAATCTCACTTGTTGCTTCAATCTCCATGGATCCTATCGTGTGGATACTATCTCTCACAATAAAGTTTGTGTCCTCAGTCATACCTCCAGATGTATCCAACCTCTCTTGTTTCTTGACAGTCGAAGGTTCCATCTTCATGTCAGAAATGCCGTCCACTAGTTCTTCACAGATGACACTTTCCTCCTGGGAGTCGATGACAGAAGTTCCTGTGGATATACTCTTCCTTCTGTTTTCCGTCTCTGCATGTAGTTTTCTGGTATTCTGGTTGGTGGAACTGGAGCTCTCTATGATTTCAACCTCATTGGATGATTGCACGTTGCTTTCTTCAATGTCACCTGCTTGCATCTCTGCTGCATTTATTATTTGCTGTTTTACATACTCCCTGTATCGAGTCACGTGACAGTTCCTCATGACACATGGGGAGACACCTGACAACAGTGCCTCAGCAGCCTGCAAGTAACATGAAAACCCTGATAATCCCTTAACACAACAGCATTCATTTTATTTGTATACACACTATGTTGCTGAGGATCGAATTTGTAATTTAACAATAATTTTGTACTATGAGCAATAGCAACATCTATAATTTAAATATTAAGAATCAGATAATTATGTCTGAACGTTTTGTATCATGCTTTTTACATACTCCCTATATGCATATGACATATATGTGAGTGGTTACCTCATTGTCAAAATATCTTTCCTAAAAGATATAAAAACTCCATTTACTTACCATGAGAATAAACACACCACAGCTGCTGCCATCAGTCTGTGGGAATATAGGGCACTGTATCTCCCTCCAGTCAGAAAGGTTCTCCCTAGTTTCCCGACTTCTATGGGTCATGTACTCACTGTAACCAAACGTGACACGTTATTTGGAATAACGTTTGCATGAAGACACGTAGACTCCACACATGTGTATCAGCCTAATCCATGTTTTCTGAGGGGCGGTCGGGTAGCCTAGTGGTTAAAGCGTTCGCTCGTCACGCCGAAGACCCGGGTTCGATTCCCGACATGGGTACAATGTGTGAAGCCTATTTCTGGTGTCCCCCGCCGTGATATTGCTGGAATATTGCTTAAAGCGGCGTAAAACCAAACTCACTCACTCACACCATGTTTTCTGAATGTAATTGATTTTGATATCAGCATACGAGTATATGGTCCAAAAAGGAATGCTCTTTTGTTTGATAGTTCCTACCTCCAATGATGAAGAATGTCTCGTTGTGTAACATCTGAGGGTTTTGAATTAATCACACATACACCTCCCTCCCTTATGTTTGCAGCAAGCAGTATCCAGTGACTGTGGCGACATATAGGCATCAGAATCCACGTGTACTCCATCAGGGGCACCTGCAATTTATAAAACTATATTAAATATATTTGCAATAGTCAAATATAATGACATCATATACTTTTATACGACAGGGCTCTTTGACCAGTCAACGGATTTATGCCTGTATTTAACAGAAGAGACCAAGGATGTAGAAATCGGTCTTCTTCCTGGAGCACCATAAAGCACTTAAAAAACTTTATCAGCACAATCAATTGATTTTTTCATACCTACCTCTTTGTACAGCCACTCCTCATAATTCTTCTTTTCCCAGAAAGTAGCGAGGAAACATTCAAAGATAAATACTTTCTTGTCCTCTTTAGAGAATCGTTTTTCCAACAGAGAAAGGTAGGCATGAATCACCTGTAAATAAACGTTGAGCTGTTTTAAGTTAATCTGAATTGATGCATTGTGCTTTTATTTAGGATCAAAGTGGTTAATCAGAGGACATCAGAACCAAAGTTCCAATTGCACGAATTTGATGAGTTCGTTGAAAAGTGGTGTTTAAGTCAAGAAAAAAACTTACGCTATCGTCAAGCCATGATGTTTTGTTCAGTTTCATTGCGTCCTGGCCACTCACTGTATAGCTGCCAATTCTATAACGTACATGGCTTGATACATCTGCAATGATATTGTTGCCTGGAGGTTCTAAATTGCCTGGTCGTTCCTTGAGAGTTTCCACAAATTCAACAATGTCTGTTTGCATGTTGAATGCTCCTACCACCAATGACGTCAGTAACGAAAGTAGGGTATCTGAGTTTGTATTTTGCTGGCCAATCGAGCAGACAGTTTCCGTTTTGACAAGACAGTCTCTGGTCGTCTTGAAGTCAGACATCCATAGACTTCTCACTTGTGTGATAAGCGTCGAAGCTGTAAAGGGTAGAGAAGAAGATAACATCCTAGGCCTTAAGCCATTGTCATTGAAACAGGTTTGCTCATCAGCTAATGCTACAGAATCAACAGCCTGGTCTTCAGCAGCTTTGTGTTGCTGTTGGCGGACATTCCATGTGCTGTGAAGGTGCTGTAGTAGCTTAATCATCTGACCAAGTTGGCCATTGTTGAAAATGACGTGTATGAATTTTTCGAGTGGAGCGAGTTGTGTTTCTTCATTGTTGACATTTTCAATCACAGGATCTGGTGCTGTTTGAGTCAAAGTGGTGTCTCCTGAGTTCCGTTCTGCAATGTCTGAATTTGACTGATTGTTGTCCTGACAAGAGACTTGAAAATCACCAACCTCGGATAAGGAATGAGTCAAATTGTTTTCCTCAAAATGTTGTGAAGGAGCATCCACAGTTATAGAATTCTTGGATGTAATGCACTGATCTTCGAGAATGTTTTTAAGGAAATCAACTGCTTCTGATGCTCCAAGGTCTGTGTTGTCTCTGCTTGCCATCTGGAGTGCATTTGACTCATCACTTGTCAAATGATAATGCTTAGATGCTTGGCTCGTCTCTGATTCTAAAGATGGTTTGTTGTCATTGTCTGCAGCAGACGAGTCATCATTTGAGTGTACTAAATCAAACCCCAAAGGGGTCTGTGGTGTTGTGTTCTTATTTCTTGTGCCTTCTTGTGGCTTCAGATCATCTTGACTTCCATGGACTCTTTTATCATATGGAAGACACCCTAATGGTGCTCGAACAATTTGCTTACAGCTTATTTGTTGTAGATTCTTTAAACTTTTCGGTTGCTTTCTTTTTCCTTTCCTAGGGAATACCTTGCCCACTTCGATATCCTTTGTTAAGAATGCTGTAAGATTATATGTAGTTTTGTCTCCAGTAATGCCCAGCCTGTTGGTGCGGGCTTCTTTTGTGCAATCCCTTTGCCCCCTGTATCTGGTATTCATGACATGAAGACGTGATCGTGGTTTATATACTTCTGGAACAGTCGAAGAAGAAGCTTGTTGATTCAAACATCTAAGGGTTTCTGTTTCATTGCTTGATCCATCTTTGATGGCTCTGATTACAGATGGACAAAGTCGGGTGTAGGGAACAGAAGTATTCTTGGAGTTACCATGAGGGAGATCCTCCGCAATTCTCTCATTTCCAATATACTGGAATAACACAAGATTGTTGTCTTCTCCTAGCAGAATGTAGGCATGCTTCTTAAATCTCTTGTCCTTGCCTACCCTGGTCTTTATAACAAAGAACAACTTCTTGAACTTTGGATCTGCTTTGGGTTGTTCTCGTGTGGCGTCGTGGTGGAAGTGGTACTGGTCACATCTCCAGTCATCTGCATCAACATAAATGTTATAACTTAAAAAGTAAACCAACCTATATGAGAAGTAAAATGGCATTTGGTTTAAAAAAAGACAGTCTGCAAGGAAGTTAGCCATGTGGTACAAAAGAAATCCTTTTGGCATAAAAAGTTGAACACAAACCAGTGAAACAGTGAAACTTTTAAACAGTGATTACCTTTGTATCTGTCAGGTAAGTATGTATCGATCACAAACATATAATCCCAGTTAGATATTTGAAATATATGTTTCCAAATATCAACATTAGTTAACATAATTTTTAAGTTGGATTATAGAGTATAAGCAAAGGATGAGAGGAAACCCACATTACACCGGTAACACAGGTCGAAATGGTTTTTTTTCCATTTGCGAAGCCCATCTCTCACAATAAGACAATACGTTTCAAAGGTCAGTATGTTATTATCCAACCGACGGTATGTCAAACACAAACGGTTCTATTATAGAAAATATCATACCTCGTTTGTTGGCATCAGTGAAGTGATAGAGAAAGGCCTGCCCTGCCCTTGGTTTGACGGGAGGTTGGTTGATGACTCTGTTGAGGTCAGGATTTTGGAGGATCTCAAGCACCTCAGTGGTGGTGAATGATTCCTCTTTGTTGGTATACAGTCTGCTGAAAAGTTGTGTCTTAGTTACAAGCAAACCATGGATGTAGACCTCTTATAATATTAGATCATGAGCGGAACCTTAATGACCAGACCTCCATTTCCCCAGAAACAGGAAGCTGCCATCCATCAATTACCTTAGACGATGCAGAATAAATATTCCTCAATATTCATTCATAATCAAGAATGGTTTCACCTTACTTTTCAATATATCTCTTGTCTAGTTTTTCAAAACACTACATAAATCGTGAACTTGTTGATGTCCAACTTGAAATATAACATTGTCTATTTATTCAAATAATGTGATGACTTTCCTGACAAGATCCTACTAAACCGGAATGATGATTTCCAGACTGATGATGTTTTACATAGACTCTATCATACATACTTCGAAGAAGTGTTCTGCTGAGGAGGCTGCTGTCGTCGTGATGGCGGCCCTGGATTCAGTTCGACATTTCCACTGAGAAGCAGCAGCAGTCCGATGACAAGGAGAACGTGCCGTGGTCGACACGGGAAGCTGCCCCCTCCTGTGACCATGCCCTGCGTGGTGGTAGTCCTCGGACTCTTGTTGGGTTGGCTGTGTAGTCCAATCCGGGCTCTCCAGGTTTCAATGGTTACCCCCATCCTTGTAGGCTACCCTTTATTTGGGATGTGACGACCTGTACAGATGGGTGATACTTTATGTATCATATACAGTCTTTAAACGTAGGATACTTCTGAGATAGTTCTGATTCTTCCAACTGTAAATGAAGGAACATTTTGCTATTATGATATCGACGTCAATTTACGCATTATAATGTTCTACACATTATTCAGAAAGTATTTATGACAATAAGCTTAATAATAAAGCTAATTTTAATATAGTTGAATTGGTATCACAACCTCATCGGTAAAACACATATAATTCTATTTTCCAAATATATATCTTATATTTCAGGGTAAACAGAGAGATCTTTAGATTCAGTTCACGTTGCTATTGGAGACCCTTTTATCGATTAATGTGCTCTCCTAACTGATATTATGCAATTACATAATTGTTTGCATAATTTGCTCGCTAACATCTACACCAATATGTAAATGGTAATCGCAATGTAACCATGATTTGTTGGTAGTATGGCATGTTTAATATTCAGATTTTGACTGATACATACACATTCGAAATGTTTCACTGGGAAATAGAGAGTTAATTATTTTATTTGAGTCCAATGACCACAGAACTATCAAATGTTAAGGGCTGTATTTGTTACCTAGGAAGGAGACTGATCAAGAACAATCAAGAAAACTTCAACATACTTTGAGCTGCAAAATGTCAATATTCTGATAATCGGTAATATTAAACCACCTTTACCTGTGCTTATACTTAAGCAATAAACGACGAGTGTGAGTTGTTTATTGTACGATACATAACGACCACGAATCGTCTATTTCGTATATGAGATATTAACATTATGTACAGTCTCTTTAAGGATGTTTATAAAATGTATAAGCTTTAAAAATATTTACCCAAATTTAAATAATAACGACTGTCTGAATAGAATCCAACCTCGGAAATGTCGGACAGTTCTATTTTACGAACAGGTGGGTCAAGTTTTGTATTTCCCGCATATTCTCCCAATCCCCACGTCGATTATCTGTACCTCTTCTCATAATACCGATTGTCACTTTTGGATTGTCTTTTTATCTGTGTAGCCCAGCTAAATCTTTACTGGAACAACTTACTGGACACTTCCGCTAAAAAATGACGTCGTCCAATATATGACCTCATCAAGTTGCGAATGCATATTCGAATCTCAAGAAATGATAGAACAATGCTTTGTAGTTCGTCATTGTTCTTTGAGATTTTATCTTATATATAATAATAGTAAATGTTTTTAATGGAGTTCAAGCTCTGTGTAATGACAATCATTGGCGTACATTGACATATAGGGTATGTGAAGAAACTAGTCTCCCTTGACCACTTTGTGTTCCTGAGTTTTGGGGAGAAAACAAATTTACGTATAAAATGCAGCGCGGATTTATGAGGAGGGTCACATGCGGTATCCGGGATTGCCTTGTTGGCACGAGGTGTAATGGAAGTGTATCTGTTACTCCGATAATACATGTATCTGACACTTTTGGCCTGTGCCTATTCAATTTCTACATTTGAATTACAAAGACATGTTAGTCGTGATACATATTTAGCGTTGAACGCATCGCTGGTTGCTGAATATCATGTGAGTGTGAGCGGTCCTCGTCTCCTTATCATCAAGATTATCGAGGCATATTGCAGCAATGATCGAATTTGGAGAGGTGGAATGTGACTCGATCATTTAGAAATGCAATGCACGACGTAATCCTGAGTTACCATTTTAAGTCCCCTAGCGTTATGTTATCTATAAATAGATATAACACATGCACAACACAGGCACCTGGGCAATGGCTTGACAGTCAAGGTAGCATGTAAATGTGTATCTGTTCCGCCATCCATGCATATTGTCCAGTTGCTTTTCCTTTCAGGATGTGAATGATAGTACAGTCCTATATAGCTAGTTGATTATGGGAATCAGATACGGACTGACATTGGTACCATGTCTATTGGTACTGTAAAACTGCTTCATTTACTGCCAATGGCAATTAATGTTATGTTATGCTATACGTTGGTTGTTATGCTAATATGTGGTGAAACAACATAGTAATCGATGAATAGGAATTGAAAATTTAGATTGTAGATGCTCACGCAACTTTGGTTACCAGTATGCCTAATTTTCTTTAAATAGTTAAATATATATCATACAATAAATACCTTCAGTGAGGTGGATATAGAGCCGACAAGAGAGTGTGAGATCTGAGTACTTGTATCTATGAGTGGATTCAACTCCTATACGACATATCAGTAGACCGACCAGGAACAGAAGGCAACAAGGAAGTACTTGTCCTACCCGCTACTCAAACTATTACATGCTAACCTAAACCAGAGTGCAACAGTTATAGCTATTCTTGCAGATATATTATATCAATAGTTTTCTTATCACACATAACTGGGCTTAAGTCAGAATATAACTTTAGGACATATATTAACTGAATACTCATATGCATTTAATTGCCAACTCAGTTCCTGAATCATTCCATACGAAATATCTAACCATTTACTTTTAACATACATGAACAGTCTTTATAAACCACCTGGTTATGGAGAACTCTGAAACATATGTGTACAATGTATACAGAAGATCAACGCCGACAGCTTTGCAATGTACCATGTCCCGTTATACTCCAGCTGTCAAGGTTGACCACGATCCGAGCTTTATGAAACGCCTACGCCCCTTCTGAACGGTACACTAACGGTGAATAATGATCATGTGATATTGCTAATGTTTACCATTTACAAATCCAGGACCACTTTAAACTATTAAAACTATTGCAATACAAGTAATCATAACAGTAACTGCATTACAATCAAGTCAATTTTCACATGTCATCTTTCTGGCTAAGACTAAACGTATGTATACAGACCAATCTCAGTATAAATAATCCCATCTATAGATTTTACGAATATTACTGAATAGAAGGAGTACATTTATGTTATGTGTTGGTAAATGTAAATAACATGATTTCAAGTGTTGACTCATTCTGCAAAATAAGGCAAAATGTATTAGGCCAGTGTGATATCATTGTATGTTCGCCACACGTACTACTACTTTTTAAGACAATCTCGTGTCCCACCCGTTAATCCATTCCTTGTATTCATCTGACATACCCATACTTAACACTATATGGCCAAAATGGTGTCATGCTTAACATGTCTTTGTAATGATTGTACCTGGACTGGCCTACCAGTCTTCTATTTATATATATATATACTTTATATGGTCATGTGACATGTGATCATCGAATCACAGTGAAGTATTGTGCTCTAGTTAATGACGGATGTGAGTTACATTCGTTATCCGAGCTTTATGAATTTCCTTATTTAAAAATATAAAACAACAACGCCACAAGATAATCAGTCACGATTATCTACCGACACATATTCCATTGTGTGTAAAAGGCAAAATAGTGACGAAACTTATAGTTTGGGATCACTGAAACACGGAAGGGAATGGACCACCACTGAAAACAATAACAATTCATGAATTCGAAAATCTGTATATTTTATATCTGTGCATCTTGAGTGCACAAACTGATGAACATCTACATGTCCATATGTAGCTTATAAATTCCCTACCAAGTGTGACATCCGTTAATATAATCCTGTGATCATTTTCTGAAAAAGGTTAACTTGATCATGAAATGAACAAGAAATGTGCTCATGTTTTCACAAATCCGAATGTCATTAATCAATATCATCTACCGTGCGAGGAACAACTGTATATTCACAATACATGTGTGGATGGCTGGCATATTAAATATATATCTACCTTGGTTGACTTTACTGATCCGATTGATTAGAATTAGATTTACATGAATCCCTGAGTTATGATGGGAAACGTTTAGAACTAGGTGTATGTGCATTCTGTTTCCACTTTACTCAAATGACGCAAGGCCTACGTGACCTTAATACATATTTACGATAACGCATGCTTCTATGAATTTCACTATAACTTTGAGGAGCACAAGTGTTATGCCTAATCATATTGAGTCACCTTATGTCGTGGAACGATATGTACACCTCTGAAAAAGACATAGGTGAGGTGAAATTGGGTTTAATGTCTCTTGAAAAAATATTCACCTTATATAGCGACGTGCATGCACGTGTGTTAGTGGCTTCTCTTACTAGTACTTGCATGTGCAAGCATTAATAGTGCTAGCCAACTCAGATACCATGCCGTATTTTATATTAACATGGACACCCAACTCAGATGAGTGGACATTTGAGATAACGAGGAAACAAATACTTACATGCCTTCCATTTAAACACATTGTGCTGTGGATACTTTTTCAGGGTGAGAACTATTTTCAGTCTCTCAGAAAGAATTTTTCGTTGGTAGGAATTTATATATTAGTATTGTTTTTCGAATATTATCTTCCCAAAGGAGGAAAGTTCCTAACCAAAACGGAGTGAGGGCAGCTTGAAATCTATCCATGCCTGATGTACAGTCACTTGACCCGATAGTTTCACGTGACATCAACAGCTGATGTATAATATTCTGGCAGGATCAAGTTTGTCTCAAAGTTTCAACCTGGGCACATCCAACACAATCCGAACTTTACGAAAAAAAGATTTGATTTGTATGGTTGTAAAGATTGTTGACTTATTTTAAAGAAAAAAATAGTTATGCCAGTACGTTGTTTACAGTTTATTCGTTCACCTAAATAATAGGTGTATCTGAACAAGGGACCTTAAGAATGCTGCCATCAATGAATGTGAAGGTGACGTATTGATTACAAAAACTCCTATTTTAATGAATAGTTGGCCATTAAATACACAGCACTTATGGGATAATAAATTGCCGCGGATACAATATGTTAAAATATCTGTGCAGTATATGATATGTGACTACGACAGCATTATCTGTAATATCATCGATCACATTGTAGTCATTTGTAAAAGAAATAATTGATATAGATATGGAAACCCCGAGTTATAAATAGATACAACTCATACAATGAAATAATAGCAATCGTGTTTCTAGAGTAATTACTACAAAGAAGGTGTATGTTATGAGTTTGTAAATTAAAACAATAAGATTTCAACTTCATTGTTCTCATTCTGCCTTAAAGTCAACATTGTAAAAAGACCTTTGGTTTATTAATGAAAGTT